AGAAGAAGGCATAAGTGAGGTTGAATATATGTATTCCGAAGACGACAGGGCAAATGGGGCCTGAGCGTGGCCCGAAGGCCAGCCCACGTGTCCAAGGGCCAGACAAATTCTAAAGTGACCGCCAAAAGTCAGATAGTCACATAAACATAGCTTTACAGCAGCTTACTGGCATAGTTCCTAGAATTTGCTGCAGAACAAAGTACACCCTCAACTCGAAGAGCTTCATCAAAAAGTACACAGTTCAACGAATTACTAAAGCTGTAGCACAATGACCGTCCGTTCAAAATGCAGTTTCGGCTCAGAAACACTTTGCGTCTTAATCATTTTACGCCCTAATGGTCGTACAGGCACTGCGCTATGTTTGTAGCTTCAATTTTGTTGCTCCGATGCATTCATTATACCCAAAAGCTGTCTTTAGTCTTCAAAGATTGTACGTGTGCGGAGCATGCAGTAAAGTTAGCAAACAGAAGAAAATCGGGTTTGATAGCGTGTCCTGTCGGCCGGCTTACTTGACCGAGAGAGCATAGCTACCTGTACAACTGCATCAAAAATTGGAAGTTCAAAAAGACATTGCATAGAGCCTCTCCTTTCGGTCAGTGTTCCCGGATCGTCTCTTGATATACCTCCCGCGCCAGCAACTGCAGCGTAATTGGTGCTGAAAGAAAGCCCCTCGATGCAACGTTGCCATTCATCAATTTCCGGTGTAACGGAAGAGATAGTTGACAGCAACGTCATCTGTGCATCCTGACGGTTCTACTGGATCTTGAGTTGCCCCTAGCTTAAGGATTAAATTGAGCTACATTTGAATCAGCACTGACCATCCTAAGGCTCCACACTCAGGCGTTGTAACCCTGATCCCAAAGCAGATCAATGGGATTAAATGCCGGAATTAAATTGTTCCCTAATGGGTGATTTTGTAAACATTACTGAACTCTTTACATAGCATGAGGAGAAGGTTTGAACTATAACTTATCCGGATGTTCTCCTTCCATTGTTACTAGCTCTCTCGTAGAACATAGTTTTGGAGTAGAAGCCGAACCAGCATGTATTCTTGCTATTTCGTATCGTTAATGTCTATCAAAAACGGTTGAATTAAGGTCAGAAATGTTCTTAAAGTTGGATTCGATTTAGGCTGCTACCAATGTAGCGTTCCTTGTGCAAAAAGTCATGGTGCTTGCACATGACGAAAGGAATCGAATCTGCCACGGTGTCTCGAAGGTCAGAAAACTTGATCAAAGCAATGTGACTATTTAAGTGATCGTAACCGAAACTGTAAATCGATAAATGTTACAATGACCCCTTTTCTCTTTAAGCAAGCCAAGGAGAACAATGAAAATGGTGTAATATATGCAGGCATCGTTCTTTACAACTCCTTGGTTAATCTCCGGCGCCGTAATTATTGCCCTCAAAACCACTCACGAGCTAGCAATGCCACCATTGAATCGCCTTACGTGAAGCGAAAGTTGATCTCAACACCACTACCGCATCTCAGCGGATTCAACCGCCGCCATAGTTCGGAACTCAGCCACTTGTTAGCTATAAGGCTTATTCCACTCCAAGGGTTAAAACTGCATCAGTTCGTGCCCTACCCGATGCCGCTCATCCATACAGGCATCTTCTGTTTAACCGGAAAAAACACATTGACACCGTGTCGACTGTTCGCTTAACCAGCGTTGCACAGGTGAGACATTTCGGAAACTAGTCCAGCTGCGATTTCCATACCAACTAGCCACTGTTTAACTGCATCATTGCTAATTGCTCATGAGACGAATCAACTACTTATGCTTTCTCTTTTTGCCTTTTCTTACGGTGATGATGTTTAAAAAACATTCACCCTGTGCGCAATCGCAACGTGCTCACGATGAGATGTCCAACTTCCTCTCCAAAGATTGATACTGCCATCACAACTGCAGTTTTATCATATAAATATACCAATTCTTGAAGTCATTACGGCACGCTCTTTGAGAGGTAAGTTTCTGCTGCTGCAGTTCCAGTTTACCTCATGCCACCTTGGCTAAAAAGTGATTAAGTACAAACTGAGAAATGTCTTTATGAATGAAAAGTTAATCACTTTGGTTGCAACTTTTCAACCGAAAACTAGCTGAAAAGCAGAAAGGGCAGGGCTTGTAATACTTTAGACAAAGATTGGAGGTTACGATTGTGAGATAGTTATTATTGAAGGAGACTGAGGAGGATAAGAAAGAAGAGATAGTTTGTACTTGTGGAAAGGAGTGCACGACACGAAGTCACTAAGCTGTACTCAATCCCCAAGAGTTTGACACACAAACTTCTTGAACAGGGGTCTGTGCTCTTTAATCTTAATGTTTGCTATAAAGTCTAATTTGAGCAGTGCAGTGTAGTCAGGGCGGTCGGCTTCGTTGACTCTGAGGCAAGAAGAAACAAAGGTGCGCAGCTCAGGAGAGTACGGTCCATCCACCGGCAGTTTAACGTCAGCTTTCTCCATGATGTAACTGTGATAGTCGAATATAGTCGCGTTCTCGGGGAAGGGAATCGAGGACGTCACAATGTTGTAGACGCTGATCCCCAACGACCAGACGTCTGATTGAATTCGAAACCCCTCCTCCTCCCTTCCTCCCACTAACCGCTCCGGCGCCAGGAATTTGTAGGTACCGACATTCGTTTTTGTAATGTCATCCTCCATTTTTTGAGCCACTCCGTAATCACATATCTAGGCAGGACATGATGCGCTCAGGGTCTTTAGAACTCTTCATTTTGGGAGCAGATTTGGGTTAGTTGATATGCCATGATAAACTGTACAGAATTTTCCGCCACAATTTGATCAAAAAGGAAGGTAAAGCTGAACTACTGATGTAGACAAGCCTTTGTTTCCTCAAGTGTGCTAATAGAATTTCAAAAATCAGAGAAACGTCTCAGTATTTTTTCTAGAAGTTAAATGGTTATCGCCAATGGTTATTATTTAATTGTTTAAGAGCCATAAATAGGTAATGTAGAAACCGGTTACCTGCAATACATCAATGCTTTTATTTAAGGAATCACATCGAAACATGCAGCATAACTTGAAGAGTTCAAAACTTTACGAAGTAAACCGACGAGAACAATGAATTTAACCGACATGCAGACGTCATAAAACTTTTAGTCCAGGGAGGACACTGAGATAGACGAGAAGAGCAAAAAAATACCTCTGGCATGCGTTGGCGCTGACAAGTCGGTTGGCGCGAGGTAGACCCAGGTTCAAAAACCACTGAGGATTTGCCACTCATTGCTTAGATTCAGTCCATCCACTCGGATTACATACTTAAACTTCTCTTACTTCTGTCCATCATTGTGCATTAAAAGGTCATTGCGCATTACTTTCCAACTGTTACCTTGTCGTCTCAACTAGAACCTTAAGAAAAATTTGATGATGATCAATAATTTCCAATCCCTGAAGTTGAGGCTTAGATACGCCAGCTCATTCATTGTCGTCATCACATAACCAATTGGTCTGACTTTTACAAAAAAAATATATTGTCACCATCCTAAGGTGAATTTAATGTACATGTAACATGTAACACATGTTACATGTTAACATGTAACACATATGACTGACCTTAACACAGCCACTGCGATTGACTAACATGTTGGTCGGCTTGACATCCCTGTGTTGAATGTCGCATTGACGGAGAAAGTCGAGACCCTTCACCACGCACTTTGTTATGAAGGCGACATGCTGTTCAGGCATATCGAGTTTAAGTATGTCTCTCTAGTGAGGGTAGATAAATAAAACCAAAAAGAAACTCCATAATGATGCCAAATACTCTGTTGGGTGTTAAGTAGCAAAGTGGAATTAAGAAATTGATGTCAATTGAGGCCTGACTTATGTGCGCCACAGCAGTACTTTTGCCTTTTGAAAGGGGTACTGTAGTGGCTATGCTGAAGCTCGCTAATAATTTACGCATCTCTCTACACAGAAGCAAAGTAACCTCTTCAAACGTAGAACAGTTTGTTTTATTGGTTGCAAACAACTGCTACCTCATATCAAATATGAGTTATCCTTTCTAATGCGTGGCAATGATTTTCCAGTACGTAAACCTACACGTACATGCTTCCACAAGCATGATGCGGTATACATTAATGAGAACTTCATAAAATGTTTAGCATAGGCCCCACTTTGATAGTGCAATCATTTAAATTGTGTCAGCAGTTTTCTTTTTGTTCGATACTTCCCATCGAAAAGGCTAGTCATCCTAATCAAAATGTGGGATCCAGAGTTTAATCTCTTATTTTTTTGCAGCAAAGCGCTGAGCGATCTTCATCGAAAAGAGACTTGAGCATTTAAACACCCCTCATCGGTTTTCGCTGTCTGTAGTTTTGGAGAATTCCGTGCTATCTGATTCGGTATGCCTCCGAGCTCAGTTGAGCGTTAAGGTAATGTTTGCACCAAATCGTTTCTAATGGTCGCCGACTGCCGTTCTAACGTCACCCATATCTCCAATTCGCCAGCTAGCCTAATGGCAAGCAAAAGACACAAAGTCTTGCAGCATCGTCATACGAACAATTGTAGTGTAAGGATGAATTAATGGCTGAGAAGTCCTACCAAAGATTTTAGATTTGACAGAATCAGATTCCCAGTTATGCATGTAATTTTCAACGCTGACAAGGTTAAAGATTACTGCGCTCTTCAACTCTAAACATGAAGGATTTCAATGAACATTTCGCACAGGCTTCTAATTGTGCCTTGACCTCGAAAAATTAAGGAGGTTCTAGGTGCAGGCCTTTCGAGATATCATAATTTTTAAGTTATCCATGTTGATTACACTACAATGGGTGCAACTCCATAAGTGTCTTGATGAACTTCACAAATAACCGTACTCAAGTTTTTACTTTGACAAAAAGGATATATGTATTCAGAGTCTACTACAATTCGTTCCCAATTTTGAGCTCCAATGGAGCCCACGTTGATCACCATCTTCTGGTGCTTTTAACTGAGCTAAATGCCATATAGACTTCCAAGCAAAAGCAGGCATACCTTAAAAAACTAACTGTTATGATATATGATTTTATGCTCTCACTTCTTAGGAGAAATGAATAGGTAGTAGAGAAGCAGATATTAAAAAACTATTTTCAGGGGATGCATGGAGGGAGAAAAGCACTCACTTTGAAACAGAGATTACTGACGGAACAATCCATGACCTCCATGAGGATGCGGACGTCGTCGCCGCGACTCATAACTCCGTATGTGATGACAGCGAAGGGGCACACAGACATACGCAGACCGAATTCAGACTCCTGATGGATGCGACTATTCAGCATCTCTGATCGACTAATCTTGATTTCCTTCACCGCAAAGTCATACACCTCATCTTTGCGCTTAACTTGCATGTGATACACGGTTGCGAACTGTCCTGAGCCTATGGCACACCCAAAATGTAATAATAACAAATGTAGAAAATCTTGACCGGGCCATTTCATAGTAATTGCTAAATGCTGTTCCTAAAAGTTTGGTCCACTTTTATAAAAAATACTGGGCAACTTCAACCAAATTCCATACATGAAGGGTATACAAGAGTGACTGTTGAAGAAGTAGCTCAAGAATGAGAGTGGTTTTGTAGTTTGTATGAACGGGATACCTGAAAAAAAAACTGAATTGCCTCAATGATAAAAAGGTAAAGTTAGACGTTGCACTTTAAGTTATCCTCACAATGCCACAAATTGTTATTAAACATCAGTGCCACGCTTCAATTGGAAAAGCTGACGATGATGCAAACAGCAAAAAACAAAAAATCCAAAGTGCGGCTCCGATCTTGATTCATTATCGAAGTAGTACAGACCCATGAAAACGGGTTTTACCATTAACATGCAGGTGATTCCACATCCTGGGGTGCTAAGAGCAATTGATAGTCCTCCAAATCGATGAGAGCTTACCGAGCTTCCGCACGTAAGCAAGATCGGTGAATTTGAGATGGAGTTCCTTGTTATTCACCACTACGGTTGTCCTGTCGGAGAGAGTCGCACTACCCGTCTCCGAAGCTGGTGCTCTGTGCGCATGACCATTCAGGTCCAGTCGAGTAAGCGGCCGCCTTGGATGCATTTCTGCAAGAAAATAACACTTTCTGGTTAGTTTAAGGCGCGTCTACATTACCACACATCAGCATTCTTCGCGAAGTTATTGGTTCAAACATACTCCAGTTTCATCGCTTAACATTGAAACCTCATCATGATCTGTTGTTTACACAGTCAAAGGTCTTACCAACTCCTATGCCCGCCTATTTGCAGATGGGTTACAAGACGTTAGAAAAAGACGCCTAGTTTTAGTTGTGCAAATAAAGGGCAATTAGATCCGTATCTTAATCTGTACTTGTTAGAACCAAAAAAAGTTCTCAAACGGTTCCTAAGCATTTAATTTTGTGACCATCTTTAACGCAAAAAAACACCAGTACTATATAACGCATAAAAATCATGGTGGCTTTCTCCTGGCATTGCCAAAGTATTGCTGAAAGTATATGTTCACATCAGTAGATTTACCACCCAAATGCAAACATTAAAATTTGCAACAGATTTTAATGCTGATTATTGTACACAAAGTCATGTAATTACAACGAAAGCAACGCGGTCAACTTCAACTCTGGATTGAACCGTCTTCATGACCATGAGTTAGGAATGAAAGCGTGCTTCAGTTAAAAAAGCTTAATAAAGAAATGATTTATCAATGCTCCGTTAAAGTAAATTTCGACCATCTCCGTCACCATATGCACAGTTGGCTACACTGCCACCGCCAGTTATAGGAACTTAAATTCAGATTTTAGTGAAATAGCGCACATATCTAGGTTGGCTAATAAGTACTAGTTCTCTAAGTCTGAAGATTCACTCATATAAAACACCGTTTTCAATTCGGAAAACTGGAAATTGGGCTACCTCCTATGGTATTAATTAATTCAGGCTACATGAACTGGAAAGTTGCGAGTTAAGTGCTTGCAGTTAAAGCAGATCTGACGTCAGATAAAAGTCGCAGAGCTGATGGACTAGAGTTGCCAAATAACTGACGGAGTGACAGTAATTAGATGTGATTTATTCACCCTTGGAGTGACATCGTTTTTTTTCATCATCATCTTGTCAGCACAACTCAGGAGGTACTTTGGACAAGCAATGAGTATTCGCTATTGGCATCATCGAGCCGTTGTAAATTTCCACTTCGCAATTAATCGAACGGTACTCAAATATTCTTTTATCTGGAAGGCTGTGCCCAGTATTGCTTTGAAAATCATTCCTATACTATAGTTTAAAAACAAGGAGAGGCATGGCACTAAAGGCAATGATCGAAATGGTGATGCAATAACCGTGATCGAAAATAGTGAGAAGCTCTGAATTTCACAAACCCCTCAAACGCATTTCGTAGAGTGACTTCGTAGGCTAGGCAGCTTATAGTTTAAGTCCAGTGTTATTGGTAAAAATAATTGTGAAATTTGAGAAATGAAACATACTGAATGTGAAGTTTGTGAAGCAGTCAATTTTGAAACCGATTAACTTACCTGAAGCGCCTTTCACACATCAAAATACGTAAGTACTTTACAGAGGAGCAAGCGTTTCGCCAGCTTTGTTAATTCTTATTGTGACTTAAAACTTTCGTGTCATTTTTAAGCAAACATCCAACTGCACGCTCGTTAGACCAGATGTTTCAGGCCAATTTGTATTCTGTCAATGACTAAATTATTTGACACACCATTAAGTCGAATTTTCACGCAATGCTTCTACAGTCAAAAGGGGCAAGTGGAGGAGAAATTCGCATGTCATTCTGCTGAGAGTGCGTATCAGTCACGGATAAGATTTAGTGCCTGAAAAATGTGTCAGGAATATTTGCGTTCTGGCCAGCACATGAGTGGAACTAGAAGCCACACTGAACTGGTATTTGCCATACCGTTTAGGTCAACGAAAAAATAAAAAAAGTTAAAAATAAAAGTAAAACTAGCAGTAAACAAATAGGCAACCGTCCTTACTCCTATTGGGTAAAATTTGATAAGTTTAGAAGTTCGCAATTAAATCGAACTTCGAATGTTACAATTTGCTGAAGTTTTTCCACCTACCAGAAGTAGCTTCATTTAATAGTTGATAAAAACGATAACTCATGTGAAAAAATGCATGTATATCTTCCATTCGTCCATTTCACCTATCTGTAGTCACCACCAAAAACATTAAAGGCACTTATCCGTCAAAATGCAGCCTTTTAAAACGTTCTTTAATGATATCAAGTCCTACAGAAACTACTGCATATTTTGAAAGCTCAATTTAGAGAAATCTAAAAACGTTTAATGCGCATAAAATCTGTTTTTGTCAATAACAAAGAGAATTAAAAGCAACGCATGCTAATACGGCAATCCGCATAAAAATTAAATAGTGGCACAAACTTATGAACCGTCAAAAGTTTCTGGACAAGCTGACTCGAGTGACAGAAATCGAGTATGTTCAGTATCACGTAGACTTTTCGACACACCGATTTCATGCAAGCATTGTTGGCCTCATTAATAAACAGGAATATCAAAACTGAACCGGAGACCATACTCATTCTTCGCTGGATGACTTATTATCCGCGGTACCATGCTCCAATGATTTGGTTCGCACTAATGGCAGATGTCCAAAGCTTTAGTTTGTATTTTGCTAAAATCAGGTGAAGGAACATCTGGATTTGCGGTATGGGGATCCAAACCCTCTGGGGCCCATTGAGCATATGATGCATCGATAGGATGCAAAAAATTTTACCATTGCAGCAACTTCATATCACTTTAGCAATCGCCTATCCCGTAAGGACAAGCTGGTAGATTGATGAACGATACTAAATGTTAGAAGCATTGTGAAAATACGAAATCGACATTTTGGTTAAAATAAAACTGTCTCCATTAAGAACCACGAAAATAAAAAGTAATGTATTATCAAATACGAAGCTTTCATACAAAATTCGAATCGCAACTGACACGAAGAAGTTTTGATTTTAAGAATCTGAACATAGGAATCAGAGGCACGTTGTATAAACCACTGGGTCAGTGTTATACAACGAACAAAGCAGCATGTACACGAGCCAAAACAGTATTGAAAGCACTCACAACACAAAGCAACCAACCAAGTAATCTTAAATAAAACCAAATTTATCCAATCGATGCTTTCATTAAAAACCTGTGTTCTTGCCAGTTAATGGGCGAAATTTACCGACACTTATTTACTTGAACTAGTGTATGCTTCCCATAGTTTTAACGTGGTGCGGAAATGGAGACCAAGGACCAGCGAGTTAAACATTTTAGAAGAGTAAGCATCAAAAAGCATCATTAAAGACCTGTAGTTAAGTAGTGAATAAGAAGGATAACAACACTTATCCAACATTTCATCAATCGACAAAAGGTTCGAAGCACTCAAAATAGTGATAAGGACTAACGAACAAAGATTTCTTTAAATTCCAACTATGTGCAACAAATACGAAAACAGGCAACCTCACATGCTATACGGGCAACCAATTCGATAAAGTGCACTCTAGTGCTAGTATAAACAAATAGCAACATAAAGAAAAACATCTGCAGACTTAGCATATAAAAATATGCAAAAATTTATTAATAAACTGTTTTATAGCTCCTTTAAAAGCAGGTAAGGCAGTTTATTGCTAAATACTGTCGAAAATCGACTTATTCTTTAGAATGTCATTATACCAGTATTTCTCGCATGTCTTATTAGCTTAAGTATTTCTAAAAAATGCTAAAATTTTATAAATTTGCTTGTGTTTTTATACATTAATGAGAATATTAATGTTGAGTGTTATATTAAGGTTTTAGCAGCTTATAAGGCTTTAAGCAAACTACAATCACCAATTTCTTTGCTAAAAATTGTCATGACAATGCTTCATTTATTTGCGCATCATTTTAGAGCAATTATTTCGAGGCATCGCTGCTACGACAATGACCTTTACTACACCGCTGTTTTCAACTCTGTTTTGTTAAGCTTTTTAAATTTCTCAATGGCTACACTTTTACGAGACTTCTTCTTGTGCTTTAAAGTTCAGTCCTCTCTATATAGCCAGTAGTTGTGTCTCTTCATATTAGGCGATCGCTGTTGCAAGTGCTTTAGAATTTGATTCTTTGCACTGGTTTTCTGAATATAGCGAAGCGTTCTGGAAGCGAACCTGAATTCTGAAGGCTAAATTTTTAAATGTACGACGTGTTTATTTTAACAAGAGCTTTGTTGCCGTCGTTGCTTGCGGCTTTATTTTTTTCATTTTTTTGATCAAGTTCCTTGCTTGAATCCGAATGTTTTGGCGTCATTTTAGTATTTTTGACAAATGCCGAGCAATGTGGAGCTTAAGTGTACTCCTCTTCCTTCACTTGTGGACTCTTCGGACATCGATCCGTTCACACAAAGGCCGCGTACCTATAAGGGTCCTAGAGGAGGTTCACCTGTGATTTTTCGCGAACAATGCCGCAACGTACGCTAACTTTCACTTCCTCCACACTTTAATAAAATAGTGAAGGTCGTGGTGGATACGAGCACCCTAAACGCTCCTAAATACGTTTGTTTTGTGGATGTCTCGGAACCCTAGGATGTAACCAACGGCCTTTATTTTAACGTAACAAATAAATTCTGCAGGGACATACGCAGCAACACTAACTCATCTAGAGAAAGCTTCTTACAACATGTTAGCCGCTGATGCAACATCTTAGCTATGCGCTTTTGTAACTTTCCCATTTAATTGTCGTCATCCTTGCAAACCTCTTTTCGTTTGTGAAAGCTTATCGGGCCGGTCGCTTCGTTGCACATCAACTTGCATTGTACCAAGTAGTTCTTATCCGTAGTCACTGCTAACCATTGCATCTGAAGACAACTAGAAACTGAACAATCAGTTCTTACTAATAGCAAATGAAGTAATATGTGGCTTAAAAGTCTTAGGGCTGCTAGTTGTATGTTCCTTCATGCAGTGTTGCACGATAAGGGTCGGTTTACATCATAAGTCGGTATTGGGATCTGAGCAGAGAATAAATTAATAGTCTGGCTCATTTAACCTTGAATCAGAGAAAAATTGCATAGTAATCATTCACTTGGTGTATTCCACTACTATTCATCCTTCTTTCCTTAATCGATACATTTCTGTACAATCTTTATCACTGCCTGCGCTAAGCACTAGGAAGACTTTCTTACAAGGGAAATTTGAATTTGTCTTGAGTAACAACAGCATACAATTCTGTTTCACCTTGCAAGTTGTCTACCAGCCAAACTAATTAAGCCACTCTTGGGTAAAAAGTGCTACTATTACACTGCGCCTTCCTCAGAACTGGCCTAAGCCTGTTCAGCTCAGTAATTGGATGAGTTGCTCAAAGTATAAGTGTCGATAATGGGTGAATGTGTGAAATCAAAGCAGCTAAATGGTGTTTGCCAAATGCAAAGTCATTAGAACAAATTATGTTTAACTGTTGGGTGCATTTGACACTTGGACGTTATCGGTGGTGCTATGGAACACCTTTGTCCTCTTCATGTACCGACTGCTACAGGCCCCAGGACCTTTATTCAATGAGGTGAAGCCAGTAAAAGATATGGATCATTTCCATCGTGTTTCGTACACCCACAAGGTTCCGCGTAGCGTCCTCTACCACACTGATGGTCCCGACTTCATACGGGTGGGGTCGCGCTTCGAACCATGCCCCGAGGCACAGCACGATGGTGCGCCTTACGGCGCTGCTATCCAATGGCCACCCTATCGGGCAGGTAGTTGTTTTACACTTTTATTCACCTTCCCATCTTTACATCGTTCACAGCATGCATGCTACTAGTGCTACAAAAGCGCAAAACCTATGATAGCTTACCCGAAGATGACATCATACACGTTCGATGTAGACTAAGTAGGCTTAATCGAGTCTCATATGAGTTCTTTTTAAAACCATAGAACTTATTGGCTACGATTTTATGCAAAACTTTCCCCACCTGAATGTTAAAAAAATGCTTGTACCTCTCCAAGTCTACACTGTTGGATTATTGAATTGCAAGAATGGAAATTAAGTTGCGCTCTAATCTACAAGCACCGATTAAAACTACCTTTAACCACCATGGTTTCAGCAAGGCATTTTTAGTTAGGTACAATAAAGAACTTTTCTACATCCCAGCTGCATGTACGGCTCCATAAAAGCCCTGACACCGCAGTATTGAAGGCCACGATTGTTTCCGACACGAAGTTCATAAAGCAACTCCCGTACTAGTGCAGTCTGTTGTTTCTAACATTTGGATGTATACGATGCACTACCCTCATGGTTCTATTTCGCGACAAATTCAGGGTCACAGTCGGCGTTTTTATTGCAGTGGGAATTTACAACCCTTCTACTCGCTAGGGGTAGTTGTTTCTTTGCAACCTTCCTCCCCTAGATTAGGATATGAATGCTGGATCTGCATCAGAGCGGTTCCACGAGGCTCCCATTTGCTAGAAAAGTCTTACTGAAGTTATGTTACGCTTTTTGACTGATCGTGAGCCACTTTGTGGAAGGAGGATTTTGTATCCATTTCTTGGTTCTCGCGAGCACACGGACGTTCACAGACATGACTTCCTCACACTTTCGCTGTACTTATTGCTTCCTTTTCGACTTTTGCAAAGCTAATCTATAACCACAACCGACTTTAAGCAATTCATTGCTCAGGTGTTTTAAATTTACCTGGAGTTCCATCAAAAATTAGTAACCTAAACATTTGTAACGCTATCCTCCTTCGGGGTAAGTATACGTAGCCCACCCCCAAATTCGCTTCGTAGCAATTTCCTATCGCACCTCTTCACTTTCTCCCATCACTCTTAACTTGGCGTAGTAAAATATATGAAGTTTTATCACAGTAGAATTTCACCTCCTACAGGTACCAGAATTTCAAGATGTTCGCAGAACTATTGTGATTCGCATTCCTGCGGGGGCTATCCTTGTTGGCCACTCCTTAGACCTTGTACAACTATGCTAGACGAACCAAAGTTCTGTACTGCCTCCAGCAATTCTGTTTGTGAGTCCCTCTTGCCTAACGTTCAACACGCTTTTGGCGCTCATTTTCAAGGGCAGAAAGACATCGATACTCTAAAAACAGCTTAAGTAAACCAGTGCTGTAGACCTCCTCAAGACTATGCCATAGTTTCCAAGTAAATTTTGAAAGTGCAACCAAAAAAGATCATAACTTGCTCTAGTCCTGGACTTTTCAAGTACCAGAACACACAGCTAAATGTATCATATGGAGCATTGGTTCTTTAATATTTTAAGGCTTGAAAATATGAACAGCTGCAGACCAGTATGTTTTTGGGTCACACATTTTGACAAAAGCGAATGAACAAATTTCAGGCTAATGGGTTATGCTAGACTGCCCGCAATCCATTTTCGATAGAAACGACAGTGCCATATTTTCTATTCTCCAGAGCTTGTTTAAAATTGATGTTCCCTCGGTACGCCATTGTAATTATAGCACTCCTTTGAGAGCTGAATCCTTAACACTTGCATTTCACGCTTGCCTTGAAAACAAACGGGAAATCTACACATCAATGATAATGCGCCTGCGTCCACATTATCCCACTTTCGCGTGCGGCTGACCTCAAGCAATGACAAAGTCGAGCATTTATAGGCGACGTTATGTACCCTAAAAATATCAATCAAATGAAGTAACAAGAGATCTAGGATCACCTAACTGCCATATACGATCTCAGCGTGTCCGTAATGACAAACCAATAAACAAGTTCTCACGAGGTGACATCAGACTTTAATGCATTACCTGCTTCATGCCTAAGTTCCCGAGTATTGGGAGCGCTCGATGCTACCAATCAACCACCATGGACTCCTCGTCTTCCCGTCTACCTCAAAGACGTTACACGAGTATCAGGAGGAGGACGCAAGAAACGTCGCCTATGTAAAGCAGCTAAAGGTACCCACCGAATATCAAGAGCGCTACATTGCTCGAATACCCGTACCCCACAGACAGTGGAACTAGTGCCTTAAAAATTGCTTTCACATCCAATTATTATGTTGTACTGAAACCACTCATCAAAGAAATGAGGATGGTGAAAAGTGTTGCACATCCTCCATCAGGGAATAAAGTTACCCAACTTCAAAACTACCGTAAGAGAAGTCACAAAATAGTGAATGGCAATTTAACACAAAATGTTAATGAGAACACCACCTATGCCTTAAATACACCTGGAACGTGACTTGATTTCATGAGCCTGTGCTGCAACTCTAAGATAGTAGTTGCGAGGACTCAAAAACAGGATGTTATTCTTAATTATTGACAATTCCATTTTTGGCTATCAGAGATTTAAATGGTACGAACGGATGACTGCCACATGTTTGTAAGCACTTAATTTACCAGTTACATATTATGAAACAAAGCAAATAAAAGATTTACCTTTCCGCCACATTGACGACAAAATAAAGCGTAAAGCAGGATCATCGTCATCAGGGAGAGGAGTGAGGGGGAATGATGGTAGCCGCAATAAAAAGGAGTGCATATCACGATAACTATTGCAGGGAGATAGCCTGATGCTCCAACTCCGGTAGGAGTCTGATTGTTGTTGGTTGTACAGCCATCGATTTCACCGCAAGGGTAAGTATGGCACTGGGAGCCAGGCCCAGATCTACGAGACTCGTAGTAGGCTCGTAGGTGTCCAATAATACTCGCGCAGTAGCTGGGCGATTCCCACCACCACCTGTGATTGAAGAAATTTGCCCCGGTGGTGCCCACAGACTGTACTCAAGGTGCTGATCAGCAAGACAACTGCTTATCCAAAGCCGGACATCATTAACCGTCTCCGTCGATAGAAACGTGCCCTAAAATGATCCAGCACGATGTCTGATGCCTGTGGTTCGCCCGCATTGCTGATCATCAGAATTATAAAATTCTCAAATCACGATATTCGCTTCGCTCCGTCTGATGAGATAGAAAAACTGCAGAGAGATGCATATCTGGAGGCCATAATCTCACCACCCATCAAAAAATAAGCCAGTGAAACTGGTAAACTGTGGAATAACGAAGAGCTAATGCAACGTGGTTCCAAATTTGTGAATCGCCCGTTTAGCTTACAGCTAGTTACCAACTTCGGAGTAGCTGATAAAAGGGGTTTTACGATTCATGATACACAAATATAAGGAAACTGGATTTAAAAATATAGTCTTTCACAAATTATTGTTTGGTACTATTGCACAACATAATTTATATGTCACTGGGATGCCACAAAATTCAAAATGTCCTCAATCACGTGAGCAGATCACTCGGTAACCAGCCTCATCTGCATCGAATACATCCAACAATCTATTCTCTTACCGCCATCTCAAAAACGCTTCATCAAACTACAAGTGGTCGCACCATTAAACCCGTGTCATAGGGCATACAACTAGCCCCATCGCAGTGTGATTCATAAAAGCCTACATTTGATTTAAATCTGGTATGCTTAAATCATAGAACTGGGTCTCGTTCTAGAACGATACGTACAATGGTGCTGATGTGGCAGAGAGTAATATCATGAGTAGACAGGGAATACAGTCCAACTTCTAGCAGTTGACGTCCTATGAATTACTGTTGTCAAATTCCATCCCATACAATAACCCTCTTAGTTAAGTCCTTTCACTCCATTGACACTTGCGTTGAGGAGAGTGGGGGACAAGCACACACCTGAAGCACGATGTCGTCATGAGGGAGGCGGACGCGGATAAGGGTATAGCGGTACAGGCGGCGGTCGCGAGACTTAAGGCGCTCCCGCATAGCCTTTGTGAGGAGAACTTTTTCCTCCTCCATGCGCTGCAGTTCGTCATTCCACCGTCGCAGATCATCGGGTGAAACAAGGAAGAACTCCGCTGGCAATTCCTCTTTGGCCAAGTCGCGAAACTTGCTTTCAGTCACCTGGTCAGAGTGAATAGTTACGTGATCTGACTTCCCCTGACCCCAGGCAGGTTATTACACAGGCGCCGGGAGGGTTATTATACGAATGTTTCATGTTATTGAGTCGTATACATTTCAGCTGAGCTCTAAGGTGACAGAGCAACTAGTACCATCGATGAATTTGTAATGACAAAACGAAGATGCCGGTACCTCGTTTACGGAATAAATAGACAAATGTCACAGAATGTACTAGAAAACAAGATCATACCAAAAAGGCAGTAATTTTAAAAATCACAAAGGCATTGAAAGGGAGCCTGACTTCCCGCCAAAACTCTATGCAATATTCGCTTCTACTATTGCCAATCAATTTTCTTGCTAACCTTAACAAATTTTAAGCGTGTTCGCATAGTATTAGGAACTGGCAGCTTCACAAGACTGATATGAGGATCGACAAGTTCACAAAAATTAAATAACCTTGTTCGGGTCAAACCAGAATCAAATGCGGCATCAGCCTTGAAAAGCAACACACAACCTACCTTAATAACAGTTGTATCGCGGTTAACCTTTGGTACAATGAGCTCACCAGACTCAAGGAGATTAAGCATACTTTTTAAGTGGTGTAACTGCTCTTCAGTCGGTGGTGCTGGGAAGACTAAATATTTCTCTGTTCTTGCATCCTCCTCTGGGGTGATTGCCTGTTCTCTTTGCACAAACCCACAGGTCTGAAGAGTTAAGAGAGTAAATAATGGCTTGCTTACCTCAAAGAACTTGATCGCAAACTTAAGCTCTAGAAGGTCCGCTATTGACTTGTTACCTAATCTCAGGCGTCGGAAATTCTCCTTTTCGGGGTTCTCAATCAAATTTCGAATAATTGTAGCAAAATTATGCTTTCGTTTATCCCGAAAAGTCTGAAGGGTTGGTGTGGATGCATCGTTTGCGTCGACACCGATAGGATACTGGCTGGACTCGATGCTTCGAATGATGAGCAAAGTGTAGGCGCTTGCCGGATCACGTTCGGATTCATCAAGAAGAGCTTCCTCAATTAAGGCATCCACTTCGGCATAAGTGCCCCGAACATCGCCACCTAGGAGGCTGGGACACGAGAACGTGACCTCTAAAAAAAACTTCGGTTTTCAAAACAATTAACACGGAAAAAGCAGATTCCAAAACCATTAAGGCGGTTGTAAATAGAAAAAAAAACATAAATCAAAGCTCACTTTTCAATGGACCCCCAGTATCGTGAGTGACCACATTTTTGGTAAAACGACTGGCCAAGGTCTCAGCCTCCTCCATCTGTTTCTTCATGCGCGCGCTTTCAGCCTCAACCCTACGCTGTATAGCCGTCTCTAAAAAGAGTATTTAGTGAGATTTGAGTTACTTGAAGGAATCTGCTGGGCCGCAATGCGACTAAGTGCTGCGTCAGCAGCCCTCATTGCACCCTCGGATGGCGGTCCACGGGGCGTTGATGGCGGCGACACCTTACGTTCCTGTTTTGAACTGCCTTCGACCCGGACTTCATTGAGACGGCGACCATGACTTTCTTTTGGGAACTTATCTGCTGAAAACCTGCTAAAGAACTTTGATAACTTCCCCATTCTAACCAGCTACGCGCCGTAACCCAAAAACACAACACAGACTAACTTTCGCCTAGCCTTTCGATTGGTTGCAAGCCTTAACCAAGATAAAATCCTCACTTCTCGTTAATACAATATGCTATTTTATACAGATTTTCATGGAGTGTTTCTGCCACGTTACCCCAATTATGAATCTGTAGTTCGTTTAGGAGTGGTATCATTGATTTTCTATTTTGCATTTCCATTACTTTAATCGGCATTATATAAGGAATTTATTAAATACTTAATAATTTTGGACTATCTAATCCTTCAGGCAAGTTTTTCGTAGACTAAATTATACTAAGCATAGAATTTTAAGAACACTTGCTGCAAAACCTACTAAACAAGTAAAACAACACTTAATTGACAAATTGTAAAGGCGCTTCCGAGTCACGTCTTGATTTTTTATGCGGTATATGGTAAACTAATAAGTCGTGGTTATCTTTTTTATCGATTAAAATAAGGTGATGTGTAGAGCGAACTGATGCTTTTCAAAATTTATAAGTTCAGGGCCACAAACTTTCAGAGAACTTTTGCCTACTCGCACTAATTCAATGATCTCCCAACAACGTACACTGCTCTGGCAGAAGTGTCTGCAGCTCAAGACCACACCCCAAGGGTCTAGTCATGTAAAGCCTCTACATCCGAACCACGATAAAGATCACGGCCTCCCCACGCTGCCGCGACCGTAAATTTTGACATGCATCTTCCTAACGCACCCTCTGTCTGAGTTAGCGTCTGAGATCACGGGACCTGATCTTCTTACTCTGAACCACGGTAATGGTGGAAGGTACATGGTAAACCCCTTCGATTAACGGAGCTACTAAAGCCCGTCATGAGCACACGCATCATTGTCTGCGAGTTTTTGAGCACACTGTTAGCGTGAGAACATGCGTGTAAGCACAGGCACCTCGAGCCGGGAAGGTGCCGAGGTCTAGGTAGAGGAAAACGCGCCGAGACTCGGAGAGCATTGGAAAGAATAGTATATTCATGACGATGCTCTTCGTCATCGCTCCCCTTCACTCTCCGATGCGCACTTATGAGAAGTGAACAAAAAAATGCAGAAATAATCCGATAATTGAGTACAAGGAGCGGTAGAAGGCAAATGACAGGGATAGGAAGGAGATGCAGGAAATTTTCGTGGTTATGACAATATAAGTTCATTCGGGTTTTCATTCCAAATCTTGACGAAGAGAGGTTGGGAGGGCATATCAAAAGTCTGCAACTGAGAGGGAAGGGGACCTCTTCAACGAGGGTGACAGAGAGTGACCGAGTCTGCACCCTTCACTGGCACTTGGGTCTGCTCGTAATGGGAGATCATGTGAGGAATGCTAGGATAGGGTTGGCTGTACTCGCCTAGTACAAATTGACCCTGTGCGTCTCGTGTGATCCTCATATGCAGGAAGCCATTGTGTCTACAGTAAAAAGTTAAAAAGAGTAGCTAATTTACTTCCTAACAATGTTTAATTTCAACATTTCTACTTGTGCTACAGCCAGCTCAACATTTTCTTTGTTGTTAATGAGGTAGCTTTTACACAGCTTTTAACGTTTTCGCGAATAAGCTAGGAGAGATAGCAGAGTTTATTCCACTTTCATCCAACTGTCTTTACCAACGAGAATTAAATTGTAAAGACGCTAGTTTGTTTTAAACTTAATCATTTAGTGTTATGTAATATACTTTCTTGAGTAGTTTATGTAACCTTTCTGCATTCAAAACTCGGCGCTTAGATCCATACGAGCAAATCTGAATAAACAAAATGCAAGCTCCGCAACTGTTGTGTGGCCAAAGTTCACTGAGATTTTGTAAGGTCTCAGAACAAAGGATCATGGGACACCGTCCACGTATGTGCTCGATTTGGCCCAGAAGTAGGCTCCTTCCGTTCACAAAAAAGCCGGACCTGTTCTTGCAAGATTGCATCTTTTGCTTAGTTTTGCGAAATCAAGTTATCTATCTACCCTGTTTTCTAGTTACAACAAGGATTTTGTTTACTGTTTGGTATAAATCAAGTGGCTCACGTAACATTTCCGCATTACCTCGTCTTAAAGGTAGAAACAAGGTAGACCTTCCAAAATGAGCCAATAATTGGATAATTATTTTAAAAAATTCTGTGAACACTGCAATTTCTCATACATTCAGACATCTGTAGCCTTGTTCGTGCCCCTAAACTTCCTCCATCGCTTTAAATCCACCCTCAGAGAAGAGGCTAATGCTTCTGAGATGGTAGTAGGATAAAACAAAAAGGATACAATTAACTTAGCAGCTCACTTGACCGTAAGAGAGTACTCATTCTTTAGAGTTTCGCTGTTGCGCACTAGGAAACTACCCTCTGGCTCAGATCGCAGTCGCTTCTCTGCACCAAACCGCGTGAGGTTGGGATGAAACCACCTAAAGGAGGGAGAAACACCGACTAGACCTTACCGCTGGGTCTCCTCGAATTTTGGCTGCTCTCAGAAGTCCCACAACCCAATAAAAAGGAATCGATTCACTCAACCTATCTTTACGTCAAACGATTAGAGCGAACCCGTTAATTCAATGTATCCTAAAGCCGCTAAAATGAAGGTAGTATAGCATGTTTATAATCCCAGGTGTCAATATCTATTCAATTCTACCCATTGAAAACAGTTATGTATTTGGAAGCATCGCCTACTTGTTCTCGCCTTTCCAATGCCGAAAGGCGTCGCACATTTACGGAACGGCCTTGGTCTGACGTCAAGATGTGTATTCACTTGACTTGACTTACGGAATCAAATTATTACAAGTAATGGTGAATACATACACAGACTTACATCCTTTTTAACTAAAATGATTAACAAAAGTAATGCTATCTCAAACTCCAAACTAAAGCTTAAAAACAGGTGCGTTGTTTCCCTTAATCGTCAGAATTCTACTTCAAGATGTCCAAATCTGTACCCTTTACCTACATGATCTCCTACACAAAAAATCCAACTTAGAAGCTTCTTATCAACTTCAACAGGTTTTCTGAAGGAAAATCTGTGTCCATAGCGAGCTCTCAAATTTCCCAGAGAGGAGTCTAGGACTCGTGCATATGAAGAAGCCACATCCAGACATGCAACTTACGGTTGCTCGTTGAGAGGTTTGAGGCAGTTCTGTGTTTTGATATCGGATGGACTTCGGGCAAGGGTCAAAGGAGAAGAGATGAGTGGGGAAATATTCGGGGAAGGTGATATTGACACTGCACCTTCCCCATCCACCACCAGCCCCGCAGCGCTCCGACCCTCCGAGTGGCCATTAGAGATGCCTCCACCACCAACGCTGGTGGCTGTCCCATTGTGGTTTCCATTCGCGACTGCCGACAGTACCTCCGAAGGGTCGATGAAACGAGAGCCTGACACCGGGATAAAATTTGAAGAGATCGGATTAGTGGTGGTGAAAGGAGTGAAAAACCTGGTGACAAATAAATAGCGTAGCGGGCGGGCCTTTTAAATATTCTCCCCAAAATCTTGACATCGGTTGTTAACGATTGTAGGTTTTTTGCCTTCGCGTGATGAAAAGATTTTAAAGCTTTACACTACTCCAAATGTGCAAACTTGTCACAAGGTGAGGATATAACGATGTATTTATCGACATAATATCCTTCGAGTTTTAGTATAAACCATCTAGATGGATTAAAAGTTACAAGTGCTCTACTCTTCTTAGAAGTGTGATTCATCCCAGACAAAATAAGACAGCAAAGGAGTCTTCGTTACAAAGCAGTGCTGATTACGAGAACAAAATCATCTTAAATAATATTCGGCCGACTACGGTGGTTAAAAATTAGAGATAGGAGTGTGCGACTATTGCAACGACATCGGTCAAAAAGAACAAAGCTATTTCTCCCCTGCGGATTAAAAGCTTATTTCCCTTTATTTTGATAGTTCTCAACATTAAAAACAGATCATAACACTAGAAATCGAAGAGAATAGGGCAAATGACACTTACTAGTGAGTTGAGAGATGACTTTGCCGTGTCGAACATCCCATGGCTCCTCACAGCTGTCAGTAGACATATTGTCCCAGTCAGCAAGAAGACGCGACATATGTGGCAGTAGGCCGGGTACAGCAACTGTGGCGGCAGTGGAGGCAGAGGCGGCATCAGAGGTATCACCTCGCATCGTGGAAGAGGACTCCTCTGAAGGAGGCGAGGAGGGTGTGAGGGGTGCCGGCACCCCTGAGGCTAGAGGATTGTGCACACCACGAGCGCGCGAACTAGGTGGAGACACGCCAACACCAACATTGGGAGCAATGTTAGGCAGTACACATTGACGCCGCATCGGCGTAGGAGACTGTGGTGGACTAAACTGCGTCGTGGTCGATGTCATTATTGACGCTGATCGATGGGGCGGAGGTGGTGGTGGTTGTGATGAGGCTCCCAAAACAGGCGACACCGGACTCCCGTCCACTTTGCCTACCATTGATCCCACCGTCTGATCTGCAGAGCTGTCTGTGTTGGAGGCCAGATTGAGTGATAGGTTCAGCTGCATTAGGAAAACAACTTGTCATTTTAGGGAGCTAAAATAAAATCGAACCTCCAATTGTGAGCATAAAAGCAAGGTTATTGCCAAAAACCGAATATTTATGAGGTTTGTTTGATAAGATTACAGATTTTGCCAACAGTCATCACCCTTTAGGTCCAACAATGCAGTGATGCAGGTGTATGCAAGATCACTTGTGGGTTAAACCTCTAGGTTAGCCTATTCGTAAATCCGTGGGTCAAAGTCAAATTCTCACGGTGATGAAAGTGTTGAAAAAAAAACTTCCCACGGGGCATTGCTCTCAACAAGGGGATAATCAAATAGCAGCGCGTGAGCATAGGACAGGATTCAAATAATCCATAAAAACACTATGCGGACCGGTACTTCCTTGTGCAAAAGCAGTACGGGCTTCTGCTTCATCAAATTGCTCTTATAGCACAACCGAAATCTCAATATCTTTAATACAAAGGAGTAATGAGCTAAGCAAGCGATCGCATGTTTAAAATTTGAGTGGCATTAACTTTTTCTTCGAGCAATGCAATGCCACAGAGTACAAAATTTGATAAAGGAGAAAGGTAGACAATGCCTTCGGATTGTTGCAACAAATGATAGAGACCAGAACATGTTTTAACTTTGATCTACTAAATGTTAGTTGGATGTTTGTAGAGTTTTGCCGATTCCATCAGGTGGCACCGCTCAATACCTCTCTGATGCACTTCTTTTTACCAAATAGTATCGTTCAGGGGAGTTTCTGAAAAGAAGTTGCACATAAAACACGAAACCACTTCCACGATTCATGAAGTTGGAGTTGGTGTCAGGTGAAAAAAAGTGAGTACATAATTTCAACAGACCAGTATAACATTAGGAAATAGAATAGAAGTCTGTCAGAGGAAAACAAGGCTTTAAAGCTAAAAAATGGCTTAGTGACACAAATGGGACAATTAAAAGACCGAATTGACGTTGTAGAGCCCATTGCAATTCACCTACCCTCGATTGCGAAACGCATGATGAGTAAATTGAGTCACCCATGGTTTACCGATGTAAGAGTGAATAATATTTCGCGTTCAGGAGAGGGGGACTCACTTGGACTCCCATGGACCAGGAGCGGTTGTAGGCATAGTCGTAGTCAGTGACAGGTGCTTCCGAAGCAGAAGGAGAGGCAGGGCCCCCTTTGACACTTGAAGAGATCGGCAAATTCACTGTCGGACTAGCAACCTGAGGTAGTACGCAAAGGAAAACAGAAATTAACTGATTATGGCTCATTTCTCCCACCACCCTCTACAACAGAGCTGTTCTTAAATAGGATGGCAAAAAACCCAAACAATTGGGTGTGTTCTGATGGAATTAGACATCGTCTCGGATTATAATAGATGAGGTTAGGGTGCCACAAGTCGGCGAAGGAATATGACTAATTGCCAGTACCGACTGCATTAACATTATTAACTTGCACAACTAGTAATTCAGAGGCAGCTAAAAGAATGGTTTATTTAATGCATAGGCAAAAGAACATCCACGTAGGTACAAAACGTCGTTGGACAGACAAACAGAAGCTCTTGAACCTGGGAAAAGCATCTATATCTACCAACAAAAAAATAGCTGGTTTGGTTTAGTGAGGTCAGAAGGATAACGCGATGCAGTAACTAATAGAAAAGATAATTCGACTTCATAAACGAATAGCAAAGAGTCCCGATTAATCCAGTTGTTAATTTGGTTGATCAACTTTTCCACAGCAACTTGAGGAAAGAAAGGGGGATTGTGTGCCGAGAAAGAGCGAAAAGAGCATCATATGTGTAAAAAAAGGGCCCTATGCACGCGCACACAACCATTGAAAAACTGAGTGTGATCGCGGACAAACAATGGTGATGCGAGTATTATCAGGTGAGTTTCGGTAACACAGAAGTAGCTTGTACGGTGTTTAAAACCCCCGAATGAACCAAAAAGAAGCTCATATCTATGGCTCAAATTTACACACCGATTGGGATAAAACTAACGAACTTGTTTAAGCTCTCCACTAAAGCCGCTAATCCTGTAGCGGTAATTGGAATTGCTATTTGAACAACGTTAGAAAATATTAGAATTGTACGACCAATGAAATTTAATTCCATTAGATAAAAGTGGCATTACATTCCTTGCCTACACTATCCACAAAATTCGAAATAAGCTTTGTCTCTTTCATGAAAACAAACCAAATAGGTTATCTCTCCACATCAACTCAATATAAACGCAGGTGGAAGGGATGTTGCTGAATTCCCCTTTAAGTCATGCTTGGTAAAAGCGGTGCAAATTTCTGCAGATTTTAAGCATTACATCATCGCAGCTAAAGTCACAGGATTGGTCTCAAAAACGGTGAGAAAATCGCCAACAATAAAATTCTTGTCGCATAAATAATTGGGCTTAAAAAGTGGAGTTGAACAATGAAGCTCTTTAAGAGATTGGCGGATAATGTTAGCTATAGAACAAAAGATATTGCCACCGCGTCTACGCTCCAGTAGTGTTACGTGCCTCGGCCATGCAGTCGATGGGGAGTCAATAACATCATAACTTTCGATAGTCCTGAGGAGGCATAGTTTAGTCAGTTTCGCCTTTCCAACTCTGTCTTGTGCTAAATTAAAAGGGTGGACTTGATTTTCTAGCACGTTAAAGTAACATGAAAAATTGAATCTCCTGAAAGGTCAGGATTTAAAGAGATTGAGATTCTTCGGAATATATAGCTAAGCTCATTTGGCTTATCCCCATCAAAACTGTTGGAAAAGTGCGTTGAAAAATGCGCTTTTTCCCCAAAGGGCAAAAGATAATTAGGCATATCAATGCGCACCAATGAAGGCCAATTTAATCGCAGTAATAGGTCGTGAAAACAATTTAGTCCGAGTCCAAGACAACGAATCGTATGTAAAAAACTATATCAGAATACACAATAAAGACCCAAATGCAGTATGTATGCACACAGAATGTGCTCGATGTATTTTGAATTGATGCTGACCCGGTGGTATTAGAGTGAAGACAAAAGGTATATGAGGAGGGTTCACCCAAAAGCTGTGGATTGATGATGCCATTTTCGATTAACAAACGTACATAGAAAGACTGTACGATCGAATCAGAGCGAAACAAGAAAAGCTTGAGAGGCGATGTGCAAAACCAAAGAACTGTGAAACGAACTAAAACTTGTTCTAACGGTACATTTGATGATACGAGATTTGAAACCCCTCAAATTTAGTTACCATCTTCGTGCTAAGACTGCTCAGGTCTCCTGTACGTTAAGGTAAACTCTGCTAGCATCGAAATGAAGGCAGTTTTAGCCTACATACGATGGAATGACAATTTCAGCATGTAAAACATGGAGGCCTCACCCGATTCTGCTTAAGCCGGAAGGGGGAAGGCATCATCTCGCGATTGATAACGGTATCGGTAGAAGAGTTCCTGAAGCTGGCGCGAGGCGTAGGCCGGGGATGGCGCATTACGATACCCTCGGTAGAAGTGAGGACTGGAGAGAGCGAAGGAGAGCGCACCACGGAAGCAGCGGTGGTAGGGGAGCGCAGAGGACGATCTGAGACTCGAATGAGATCGTAGCGCTTGAAGTTACCGTTGGGCAGAGCCTCAGCCAGTCGACTCACGTCCATACCACCTAGCCGACGTGACATTTTCACGTCCCAAGCCTCCTCATAGGTTGCCGCAAGGTCTTTTCGACGACGCGAGGGTTGTGGACCTCCTGACGCTGACTGAACTCCATCTGGTTCCTCTGGAACGCTCAGGAATAACAAGTTAATGAATCCGCACAACGCACACGATTGAGACCTTTTAAATACACATGATTCTAAGCCCAAATCTAGCGATGATTTGACATTAACTGGTCAATTGTAAGGTGCGCAAAGTTAAAATTCGTGCAAGCGTTCGTCATTGATGACAATGCTGAGGTGAAACAAAGGTAAGTAGTATTTTGAATTACTGAAAGCCTCTCCTATAATTTACTTGTCGCACCAAAGGAGCAAAACTGAATTCTTGATCCGCACCCTTTGTGTTTGGAGAACTGCAACCTACATACAGCACAACAGCTAAATTTTTGAAAGTATTGGTAAATTTCCACTACGAGAATAGCCTTCATTTCAGCAACAGAACTCTGGGTTACAATAATCAGGGCAGGCGGAGAAATATGGAAAATAAGGGCACTTTCTCAACACCCACATTTGACCATATAACCCTTTTTCCAGTCTTCCACCATTCAGTTATGTTTATACAACCTACGCTTGTCTCCCAGCCTCGCAGTACGTTGATACACAGGTTTTGTCTAGTTCATGTCTATGAGTGCTGCTGGATGAAAGAGCGATGAATTGCCACATATGAAACTGAACTAAGCTTCAAAATCAATCTTTTTCTGATGCATAATAGGAAAGTGATGACAGCACGCGGGCCGACCTACCATCATCGGGCAACTGACGAGCAACGGAGCTATTGATTGCACCAACACCGACACTAGCACAGGGGTTGCAGAATGGGCGCTGGTGTTCGGGCGGTGGCGAGACCGCGAGTCTGTGATAGGACTGAGCGCAGGGACAAACAGGAGCAGTGACGTCGCTATTGCTACGCGATGATGAAGCCGTCGCAGCGACTACAGAAGCAGTGGATGGGGAAGCACGACTGCCACAGGGTGTGGTGCGAGTAATTGGGGCGAAAGGGCTGGCGGGGTGATGACTGATCTGCGTATTGCCTTGCAGCACCACTGGATGATTGGAAAAACCTATGAAGTAGAGGCGAACGAGTTGATTGCCTGTGCACCCTGCCGTCACAGACACTGGTTAGTCTCAGACTTAACCGCAGTACCAACGTATATCGCAGCGTGGGATAACTTTTCAGTCGTCACATGTCACGAAATGCCATCACAATGATTTAATGTGATTTGGCAGGGGGTTGTGTTCTGCTTGATTTCATCAAGGTATCTTCGAGGAGCATATCAATGGTCAAAGGTCTCGAAATTATGCCTTTACTTAATATAGGCAATGGAGTTGGAGTAGTGGCGCTAGCAAAATTACTATACCAACAACATGTGACTTTGCATCTCATAAAGTGAACTGAGCTCCTTTCTATACTCTTTCATTGATATTCTTTGAAGGGAGTAGAGCTTCACATAAGAAGCTACAAAGAGTTAGAGCAAGTTATGTGGGATTATCATTCTTGGGGCAGTCAGCTGACTGAAATTTGGGCGACGTGCAGCTAAATTTAAATCCGTGCGCCTAGTCTTCCACTCCCATGGTACAGTTCATCGTAAATGGGCCTCACTTCAATTCAATTTGATCAAAAGTAAAACAGAAAACACAAAGAAAATGTATGACCATGCACAAGTTGAATAATTTGAAGGTAAATTTTTCACCAATATATTTTGTTCCTCCACATTTTGGTCACTTGAGACCACTTCAAATCCTTATTCAGCAGTAGTATTAAACACTTAAAACAGATCGCACCCGTCTACTGGATAAGTAATATGCAATGGTGGAGATGCAGTAAAAAATATGAACTGGTTTTATTTCAGACATCTTGATGATGCGAGAACCTCGCGTCACTTGTTAATGTATTTCACAGACTTATCTGCAACCTTAGTGATTCTATCTGGCACTTTGTTTTCCAACAATCTATCAGTTGACGATTCAGTGATTCATCTTTCAATTAGTCACAAAACACCGATTCAACGTTTAATAAGCCCAATTCCTCACGATTTCGTAATTGTGTTCAGGCTTTCAATCCCATGTTAGGCTAGCAATTCCGTTGGCCGCTCGCAAATAGAGCAGCATTAAAACACACACACATCGATTGCATACAAATGGTACCATAATGAAGGGTCAACACAAGTGTGCTATCCAATCAGTGTCACCGTTGCAATGGCTTCATGCCTTAACCTACATACCATACCTCGACTCAAATGAAGGTCATGAGCAATAAGGCCACATTGTTAAAACGTGCCTTGGATTTGGTTTGGGGCTCACTTATCCTTTTCACTAATAGCGTGGTTATGAACTAGAACGCTCTGATCTTCAGATATGGAAGTACTTGTTTTAAATGGAAACATATACACATATGGGATTAACGAACAGAATTAGAAAAGCACAATGTAGAATATTCAATCGGTTGAGCAAGTACATTGACGACCCAGTTGGTGAACAATAAGATCCAAGTTCAGAGGCAACCTTTCACGGACCGGGAGGTCAATCATCTTTTAGTTTAAGTTTGAATTTAAATGTTCGTAGTCAGCGACTCAACTGAGCTCATCATTGTAAATGTGGCGCGAATGCAAATTGTTAATAAATTTTGCCCCAAATTGCATAAGAGGCAATTAGGATACTACAATGAAAAAAGGAAAACGTTTTGTGCTTCCGAAACCCCAAACTAGGGACAAAGCTCGCAGTTCTACAACAGTGCTACAGAGTGACGGCATGTTTGCAACCACACTTTGGCACCCAAAGAAATTATTCAGCAACGTTACAACAGGTGCCGTCAAGACCCAGGAACAATTATAAACACTTATCACCACCATTTAAGAAGTAACTGTAGATTCAGCTATCCAAATTTTGTGTGCCAAGATAAACGGGAATTGGCACGCCAATCAGCTACATGGTGATAGTGGCAACATCAGGTTTTATTACGGCAATGTAGGGCAGAAAGAGGAGAGGAGAGGGGGTGTATATGACTCATGCGATTTAGTTAGGGCCACACGAGAAACAAACGACTCGCCGTTTCCGCGCTATTCCTCCTTCCTCCACCCGCCTCCGCATTGCCAACAGTCCCCGATGTGGACCCACGAGGGGGTCATGTGTGCGTTGCGTAGATGTTGATGGTGCAGGCGAGACTTGAACGCTACTCGTCAGCCCTCCCCTTCCCTCCCTCTCTCTTCAGCGGCAACGACACCAACACCCCACTTACTAAAAATAACTACCTCATGATTCATACCTGTAAAAGATGACCCAGAGGAAATGCACCAGGGTGTGTGTACGAGTGTGTATGAGGGAGGGAGGAGGGCGAAGCGGGACTGAAACCAGGCCACGCCATCTGTGAGGTGCATGCTAAACCCTCTCTGCGTGTCCAGGCCACAAATGCACACCTAGAAAATCATTCAGTCATGTTAATCAAGCAGAAGTAACTCGTCTTCTTATCTCTGAGACCGCTTAAGAAGTAAGCCCACCTTCAAGCAGGAAGAAGCAAAAACTTGACCCCCTGTGTCGAACTACTTCCATTTTACCCGCCCTTGCTGATTGAATTATAAAATGCAAGCAACCTATTTCTCGGTAATCGAATGCAATGCAATCAGCCTTTAAAGCGCCATAAGGAGGGTTTTTGATTAGTTCATTTTTTAATAGCGAGCCAGACTAAGCCTAGCCCCAATCAATCACTCACACAGCAAGCGAAGATGATAATTGAAGATGATTGAAGCAGGTTAGTCACTCGAATTTTCCAGCCCCTCTCCTGGCTCGTCAACACGACGGCACCGCAGCCCGAGTGTGAAGCAAGTGTGCGCGTGTGTGCGTGGACGTGCGTTGAAAAGTTATCATGTGGGGAACGCTGGCATTTCCTTGGCGGTTTCTAAACGCTTGTGCAGTCAGATACGCACGCCGACATTTGCACACACGAACAGCGTGACTAAGACTAATTTTCGCAACAAAATAACGATAATTACTTGGTTACCATCTTCACTCCTAAGATTCCTCGTTTCCCCTAATACTTCGCCTGATCATGCTAAATCAGCACCAATCCATTAAAAGCAGTCAAATTTGAAAACTAATTTTCCTTCGTAGGAGTGGTCCAAGGAGGAATTCCATAGGGAATAGGTTTAGTCTCTTGTCCGAATTCTTCCGCATTACAAATTATGAATGATGATGAGAGGGTGTTTATGAGTGTCGTGCAACATCCACACCAGGCGAAATTCCCATAAAGTAAAAATTGTAGGAGGTACAGTTAAAGGTGAATAAGGACCATAAAAATATCGTTTTGCGGTCGCTATTAGATTGAAAGTGAGGGGAGCGCCGTGGCTCCCTTTCGATTGCATGTTCGTGTGTGCTCCTCGCAAATCTTACTGCGTGAAGCACCATTACTGTTTGATAATTAAAGGCGAGACATTATTTGACCACAACGCCCATGATAAACGACAAGACGGTCCGAGGAGCTGATAACGACAATCAAAGGTATCCGATCAAGAGCTGTTTGGCATGTCAGAGAGTTTTCTCAATGAGGCCTATTTTGACCTCAAAAATTCAAACACAAAAGATCATGAAGTGTGGCACACTCAGTTTAAATGCTAACTGTGCAGTTTACGTAAGTTATGGAGAAATCGGTCATGAATCTCGAAGACTTCTTCGTGAAGGGAAAAGTCATAACGTCGGGTGCTCTGATATTTAAGTTGAAGATAGAGAAATTAAACGCTAGTTAAAAATAGTGCGCTTTCTATGGGCAAATGGCCCTCAGAAGTGCTCTATTGTCGAAACAAGGTAACTTCACAAGTCAAAATCAGCTGAGTTAGGGACACAAGACTCGGGTCAAGTGTACTCATATCTTCAGGTTTAATTTTCGGCCTTCAAAAGCGGTGAGACGCGAGGCTAGCTCACCTCAACGCAGTTATTAGATGGCGGCACAAACACGTCAATTCAGTGGAAAACGTGTCAGCGAGACTTTGCATTTAGGAAAACTAGTTCGCTCGAAAACAGATCACTTAACGTGTCATCAGGTGATAGAGTGGAGGAGAATGAAAAAGCATCATTCTAACACAGAGTTCAGTTCTTAGTGTAACATACGATTTCAGAATAGTTGAGTGTGATATTGAAAATTGGGAAAAAAAATCTATGATGCTACTCTTATGCACTCAAAAATCCATTTCCATCGAAATCCACACGTCAGAGTAGCAGTACGGAAGATTGTCAAAGGATTACATCAACGTGCATGCCGAATGCGATGCATAAAATCAACACTTAAATATGATTTTATTACCCACATTGTAGCCACAAAGTGAAATCAGGTGATTGCAGGAAAAAAATAATGCATTTACGCCTAAAGCAGACCGTACTTAAGCCATGGAGATAAACCTTGGAGCAACATGCTCAACCACTTAAGCAAAGGCACCTGCGTAAACGTTTAGATGGTTATCGACTTAAGGAGGCACATATGTGTGAGCCCTAGTTGTTTGCTGTCGATTCGTCCTATCTATCAAGAGAGGAAGGATTGCACATTAGGTTATACCATTCAGTGACTGTAACGGCACAGTGGTGCGTTTGGAAGTTTGGTGACAAGGAGAGGCGAATAACAACACCAAGTATTATTTGGATAAAAAGACATGAAAATGTTTTAAGCATTACAACCCGATACAATTCACACAGTAGGAACTGCGTCAAGGGATTGCGCCAAAACCATTCGAGACTTTGCAACGCATTCGACAAGAACTGCTACTCAGTGCACTGTGCTCAGAATCGGTACATGGGTTGGACCACTTGCTACAATTTTGTTCATCTTTTCTCTAACCAATGTAACATACAGTTATTGTTAGTGCTGTCGCGATTAAACAAGAGAGCATCCACAATCTGATGAGGCGAAATTTTTGAGGAAAAGTTGGCTGAAGGCTGAGGAGAGGCGAAATAAAGCTGAGAATTGGAGATTTTTGTGAGTGGCTAAGCCTATCGCCCTAAAATTTCGACGTATTCCCTATCATTGAGATCAAATCATCGCATAAGTGCAAGTCAATGCACACATAAAACAATTGACTATCCTCTTCCCATGCAGGATTAGTTGTAATCGCAAACAGCATTTCTCCATTTCTGGTGCTTTTGGCACATGACAGGGGGAAACAGAGAAAAGAAGTATATTCGCGACAAAAATCTTTTTCTTCTGCCAATTCCAAAGCTCAACCAGTCTGCTAGTAGAGCCCAAATTAGAGGTGGAAAAATTAACAAATTAGGAGGGTTTTTAAGGTATGGTGAAAACAGGTGTTTATTACAAAGTGGACACAATCCAACTCTTCAAGTGATTCATTTCGAAAGATTAAAACAGGACGAAAGCCACAACTTGATCGATTATAAAAGTTCGCCTTCGGCACATAAAACATGATGCAGAAGTTAAGGATGTATGAGATAAGGTTAGTCTGCCAGTTTTGTGCACAAAATCAGCATCCTGACAGGCACCAGGAAATACGTCTGTAGCCAGAAATAAAATACAATCAAATTCCGGCTAAATGCAAGGCTGGTTTTGTTGCTTTAGGAGTAATTTGCTTCTCTGTAGGATCCATGATGAATCTGCGTTTCCCTCATTAGGAAATTCAAAATGGGAACCAAAATTGAAGAAAATTAAATCTGTAGAGCTGAAAGGGTGTGTTGTTTAACCTAGCAAATACACATCCTCCGATTTCGTCTTTCACAGGATTCAGTGTTTTGGAAGAAATGAGTCATTATTTATGCAAGGCTATGTCGTTCTTTAATTTAACAATTCATCAAAATACCTACATACATAGTCCACGGGACAATACATGAGAACCGCATTTGATGAAGCGAAAATCCTTACATGCAAAACGAATTCCTCGTCATGAATGAAGACCGAATTTCTCACAAGGATCAAGCAGTGTGTTCAATTTCTAAAAGTGCCAAACGGCACCAATGATAGTAGATGAAATTAACTTGCCTGATGTACACTTCGTATGATTGTTTTGCAAAAAGGTAAATGAATCCGAATGCAGTAATGGTCCTAATAACAAAAATTTGCCTATGACCATTTATCTTCAAAATCATGCATCACACTAAGGACTGGTACTAATTTTCATGGGAGTTTTTAAGAACATCATTATTCTTTCAGCATATCCATGTACATTTCTGATGAACTAGCAGTAGTATTAAATAGTCCACCAAATTGGATCCAACCACAAGATCAGTCTGTGAAAAGGTAGGGCCAGAAGGACCAGAAAAGCGTCACGATAGTCTATTTAGCTACCCTTTCACCATTTTTAGTCCAAATAGCACAATGAAATGTGAAGACTATCAGAAATGAAAGATGTTACTCAACTTTGCTGAGGAACTTTAAACGCGTTAACACTTGCCTTCACGAACTGCTTGGGTATTTCAGTGGCCATGTACCCTGCTCTAACACAAATATCTTTGGCATTGAGGACGCAAGCAGGAAAAACTAGCCAGAAAGGTTGTATCAACACGAGAATGAAATAGAAGGGCACAGAACGTCATTCCACTCATTTATGAGGACCATGGAACAGCTGTCGCGCTTTCTTTATGTCAAGGCGACAATCAATGACAAGGGTTCATGGGAGGAAAGGTGAATTGGGACGTGGACGTATGCCATTTGTAGTGCAAACCCATTATCTCAGCGGCGGATTAATGAAAGTTTGGCTTTCAAGCAGAAAATAGGGTGTAGTGGAAATGAGAGTGAAACAGTGATGCGAGGCCGATAACGAAGATCTGGAACAAACTTCTTCTTCAGCGTTACGGGACCTCTAGATAGTTGGAAAAAAGTACCTTGTAGGAATACCAATTTCAATTCAGCCAAAACAAACTTTCCCACCCTTTTGATAAAGTAACAGAAAAAAACACTCACCGAATGGTTAAATATAAAGACAAGAACTAACAGTTTTACAGTTATTGTCTGAGAGAAATTTTCGTCAATTTAAACGGACTCTCGATAAGCATAATCAGCTCCCTCTACCACTAGGATGGAGCGTCAGAAGTTCCAGTAGGAAAAGTAGGTTCTGTGAATTTGTAGCAGAAGTAGACCGGATACTCAACTAGTAAAGACAATAACCCGAAGACCTACAACCGATTTTACTCTGGATTGGAAGAGAATCATTGGAAATATTTAGCACCTTAGCGTCTTCAATACGAGATATTTATCTCGAACCCTTAATTCTGTACGAAAAAGTAAGGGGGTGAAAAGGGCTTTAAAACCGGTACATTTATAGCCGTATTCGTGTTCCTTTTGTTGCTTCGACACAACTTACTAGGACTGTTAGAAAGAGCAGGAGAGGCACTGTGCGATGAGGAGGCAGCAGTTGTAGTGGCAGTACCAGCAGCAGTGAGCTGTTGACGTGGGCTGAGGTTTCGACGTCGCTCGAGGCCAGGAGAGGAGGAAGTGGGTGCTAAAGGTGCCTGTTGTTGCCGCTGCCGGTGATCCCGCGCCAATAACTGCTGCTGTGTTGATGGTGGTGGAGGCGATTGTGAATGCACCCGCATCGATCCCCCGGTGTGTGCCAGCGGCGAGTGACCTGTTGACGAACCGCTCCCAGCTGGCGGCGAGGCCATTCTGTGGAAGGAAAAAAAATCGACTATACAGAGTCGAATAAGGTGTGAAAAAGTCTAAATAATAGAGATAAAAAGTGCGGCTACTACGCTGGAACTTAGCTGCTACACCGACTTCCTAATAGATCGGAAGTAAACAAACGACCTGGGTGATCTGGCTTTGCAATCAAACGATGGAACGGCTTTATAAACTAGAACGATTCAAGGTGAAAGTACCCGAAGAAACACGGTACTTTCGATGTGGATTTATAAAATCTGGAATAAGTTGTTCATCTAGGCTTCGAGGTAGAATAATCCCAATAGTTGGCGATTTCAAACAGTGGAGGAAGGGAACAAAATTTCGGGTACAACTGGTGCGGCTACCAGTTTTCCCAATCATGATTTGTAAGATCTTCAGTTTTGAAAGGTCTCGACCTACTTATTCCCTTATGCTTGTATCTAAAAAGACAATAAGGGCATTTAACAAGAGCATTAAATTGGACATACATAGTAGAAGAGGACTTAACTACCAAACTTGACGGTTTCGTATTTAAAAAGAAAGGTCTTCGTCCTCGCTTAATCAAAAAATACTCGACAGTGGCAAAAATGATTGCATCACTTTGGAGGAATCGACACGAATGGGGGTCTTTTAGCTTTTTGAAAAAGGGAATGCAAATTTGCATAAATGAATCGCATAAGTCACTATTTATCAGAACGGCAAATTTGAATATGTCCAATAACAATGGAAATAAAACTTCGATATTTAAACAACCGGGCAAAAGTGGGTGGATAGGTTTCTCAACAAAGGTAAACAACATTTTAAATTGTTCAATTCACTTATTGCCTTAAGGACCCTTTTAATCCGAGTCAGCTTCTCTGAGGCAACTCGTAAATTATGCAAGTGACAAGGCATAAAAAGTAGCATGGCCCAGGGTTTTTTTGTACTTTAATTTGGCAAAAGGAAAGGTTTGACATTCATTAGCATCCTTCTGTTGGGATTAGACAGGTCTGTATTTTGAGGCAGGCAAAATGCAGAATTGCGGACGTGTATACATAAACGACGTGGAGGGAGGATCCAAATGAGGGAAAAAACGCTAAGTCTTTTTTTCTAAAATGACCACGTTGGAGACTCTACAGTGAAGTAAAGTCGAAAAAATCAAAGCAAGGGCGTGTGCATTCAAGCTAAACACTGAATTGAGAATGTTCTTGTAAGGCATATTAAACAGAGGGTCTCTTAGTTCAGTTCAATTTTGGAAGATGGAGGGCGAAATATGAATATATATGTAAATCTATAAAAACCCATACACGACTGGAAGGATAAAGACGTATATATGGCCTTCCGGTCCAGACCTGCCTGTTAAAAGATCACATTATTGACGGCAAGATTAAGAAGGACTGCGTTAACATGGCAATGGAAATCGATTGTATAACGATGCCAATAGAACAACATGCTGATACTAAGTTACTACAACTATGAATAAGAAACAACCAGTGTTTCAAGAAATAAAAGGTTGGTGCCTAAGATAGATGCCATTCAATGTTTATTAGAAGTGAACTACAAAACATTTCGTTTCGACAACTGCCACGCAAAGGCCAGCATAACGACGTTTGACGCTAAATTTGTATAAAAACAACGGTTATTTGTTGCTTGCATGTGCAACTTAAACAGACTAACAAAAGGCCAAAAAGGTAGCATAAGAGTCAGCCAGTAAAATAAGAGGCATCTCAGCATATCATCCTCCTATTTTTTGCTGTATGACCTAGAAAGCAATTTGCCAGATGGTATTTCACACAACTAAGACGCAAACAAATAAACACAAAGAAGGCCTATGTCGTCAAAGAGGTTGAAATGGAGATTTAAAATATTCATGTTGCTATTTCCCTTTTTAAAAGCATAAATCAGTTTTACCAAATGAAGCAAGTAGAAGGTGCTTATCCATTCAGACCACATTGCAAGCTAGTACACTCAAAGTGTGCCAATTAGAGTAAAATAGATCGACAATAAAATCGGCATCTCCGATGAATCATTGTGGCGCGAATCGGCTGAGGAAGTCGGAAATCGATGGGTTTGATTACCATCACAAAATAGGGAAAATGAATTCACAACCGCTAAAACGAGTTTCACAAATTGAGGAGAAAATCGAAGGTACCACCGATTGGGTAGACTGTTTCTAGCAGTGCACATACAGTTGAAACTGCTTGCGCTCATGCGAGCTGCACTTGAGTTGGCAGCAAAGCCAACGCAAAGATAAACCCACCAAGAAATTCGACACACACTCACGCACACACACATCCATACACACACGGAGAGAGAAAGCAAACATGAGTCATGTTAACTAAATAGTGTGAACGACAAACTTAGGCGCATGCACGTGAGATAAGCAAAGATAGACACAGATTCTTCACGCTTGATGCTACTTTTAGAAATGAAGATAGTGGAATGAAACAAAACAGTATGTAGAGTATTCGAGTCAATGAGTTGAGGATCGCAGCATGGAATACAACCTCAACACTCAGATGCTGATCTTTGCAAGTAAGCAGCAAATAAATCTAAATTTGGAAAGTATGATTTCACAGAAGTTAGAAGTCCATCATCTTCACGTCACCCATAATCCAATAGTCAAGATATTCGTAAGTAGCCGCAATAAACTGGGTGAAGGAACAGTGAAACCTCAGCATCGCAATCTGCCGGATGCTGAGCGGAATGTAGGCGGTGACCATAGAAATACCTAGAACGTACCATGAGGGGAGTTAAGTGCATATAGGGTATTTATTGTTCCGATTACTGACGCCAGGACAAACAATGGTTACACATGAGTGAATAGAAGGGATTTCATTAACGGCAATGTGGGAGAGCTCAGACCTCCCCTACAAAAGGCGAAAAACCGGAGTGCTTGCAGCAGTGCAATCAACATTGAAAACACTGACACAACCAAAGTGCTGATGGCTTTTCAACACAATATTTCTTTAAACGACCCGAAACTCGCAATCAGCATTGCACAATGCCGAAAATTTGAAATGTCAAGCGGTAAAGTATGACAGAAATCCAGACAAAAAAAGCTCACCCCTCAAATTCATGCCAACTTTGCACGAGAACTCAAACTCATAAGAAAACAGCAAAAGATTTGGAGATAAAAAGCTACACAAAGGCATTTGCAGAAAGGAGAGTAAATAGTTCAGAAATCACAGATTACGATCCGATTTTGCAGTTAATGTACTTCCGAATCTGTAAAATGAAATCGGATGCCTCTGCTGTGCAAGCACCATTATAAAAGACGTAACTTTGAAAATACTAAAGTAAACGAAGACAGTCCTTCAAACCAAAACCAAGTAAGCTAAGCTGTTGCTAATGTTCAACAAAGCACGGTTTTCGAATAAAACTTCTGCTTCAACATTGCTTATTCAGCTTTAGTGGGAATGGTAGCTGACTTTTCAAATTATACTAACCACAATCATACAGTCAAGCTCACTTCCATCAAGCGGAGCTTAGAGGTAGGAGGTAATTAACTAACCCATTAACTATGAAAAAGCTCAAAACTAAAATTGCTGAAGTATGAAAGGCAATGGTAATCGCAACTGACGCATTCAAGTAACCAGTGGTACCATGTGGATCGAATTGTAGACCAAACATCAATGCGTTGGCCAACCAAATGGAGGAAGTTGTTATGCCAGCACACGTCCCACCCACGTCAAGACTTAGTCACCACAGTAAAAAAGAGGAGCATCAAGATGGAAGAGGACCACTGGTCTTTTAACACTAAACTTCAATGGTGACTGTGGCTCAAATTGTCTCCAACATAGTCGCAGCCTGTTCGCCTTTTAGTATTACCCTACCAACTGTCAAGGTTTTGCTTAGGACACTGAAACAATTTCGGAATGTAATAATTTTTCGAAAAATTTTTGTTAGCATTATGCGGCGTTCTTCATGTCTAATACTTCTACCTTCGGTCACATCATTTGCAGCCTCGACTCCACCACGTCAATGCGGCCTTGATAAAGCAAAGGACAGACTTCTAAGCATTGGAGATTGACTAAACGCTACTAATCAGAACTCTGAAATACATCAATGCCTCAGTACCATCCTGTGTCAGTTGAAAGCAATAGATGCAACAGCATGAGACATACGATAGGCCAAGTTTATGCCACAATTTGTGAGGTTATCGCAGACAACCACTGGTACATGAGGAACTTCCTTTACGATCATGAAATGAACTTATATTGCAAGGGAAATAACTCACATTACACTACCTTATGACCAGACATGATCCTATCAATGGTGACACAGAGTGGAGGCTGTGTTGGTACCTCAGCTACTAAGGTTGGTGGCAGCACTAGCACTGCAAGTTTTTGTGCGCGTGAGTGTGCGAACACACTTATGAAGTATGACCTAGTGGTTTCTCGGGTTTAATGGCAGGCTAGCCGACGCATGATATTGGCACGACACGCATTGGTGACACACGCCTGGGTCGCGCATTTTAGTTTTGGGATGATCTTTTTTGCCCGTGGTAATTGAAGTGAGAGGTTGCTAGCAAAGAAGATCAATTTATAAGCGTGTTGGGTATTAATCTTCAGAAATTACGAAGACCATCTTTTGTTGATCCAGCGACTTTTAACCTATCACAGCAATGCAATAAAAAACTCACAAAAGAGGGAAAGAGGATCAACGGTTCTCCTTGAGCGACTCAAAAGGATGGTGAATAGCATAAATTACTATATATACATGACTTCAAATAGGAATACTCAAGTGCGTGAGATGGAAAAACTTCACTTCAATTGAAAATGAAGAGAGCATAATGAACCCGCATTATCTTTGCTCCATTCCAGTCAACTCGTGAAACCCTTTGATAAATTACATTAAAATAAGTTGGTAGAAAGGCAAACAACTTGGCAAACGGTGTGTCCACCTTTGAGTAAACACAATATTCACATGAAGGTGCCTTTTAAAATCTAAAAGTGAAATATTTCCAAATCTACGAAAGTCACGCCAATCCCTGCTTCAATACATCACCGCGCATCGTAATTTGGGGGAACGATTAAAAAAGGACACAACAGGAAGCGAGCACTAGATAGCTAACAATGCAGGAGAACTGGTTATTCCCAACTTGATTTCCGGCAACCGAGACCTCCCCCTTACCTCAGCCCCTAAGGCTACCTCACTCGAGGACCACCAAAACGGAAATACACAAAACGTGGAAGATTTCAGTCAACGTAAAAAAGGGGCCCTAACTGATCTCTTAGTGTGCTAATTCTGGTGATAACCGAGGCCCCAGTGACACCAAAGTACCCTTTCTTTAAGTTAAAGCCAGAGCAAAAAGCGAGTCTTCACAAAAATATTTCGAATCGCCTTATGAGCGCATGCGTGCATGAAATTTATGATCCTCGTGAGTAAGCTAAAAAGTTCTCGCAAAACTTTCGAAACCAGCAATCAGAAATGTCTGCTCTTGATTTCGCCATTCATTTGTGAAGTAGAATTCTGATGTCTACTACATGCTAAAACAGATTTTAACACCTCGAGCGTAGACGACTTTGCGAACCAGGCACCAATGATAAATCCTAGTTGCAAATTGAGATAAAGTAAAGGAGAAAAACATAAATACATTTAAACTATGAAAAGCCACCTGATTTATGGAACGGATCGAAGACAAACTGAGAAAGAATGTTTGAAGTAAAAGGAACAAGGCTCGAAGATACACCGAGAGAAGAACCAATTTCTACAACGGTTAATAATGGGATATCCGGAGCATCAAACGTCAAAGAATGCTCGTACTTCAATGCCACATTCATCATAAACTACTTGAATGCTTTGTGCATTGATGAATGGGGGAGAACTGAAAGCTGCCGACAAAATCTTCTGCATTCTTTGAAAACTAATGAAAGAAGAGCAATCAAAGAGCACAGTTGAACGCAGTCTGTATTGTCGTTTCTTCAAACTTAAGCCCATTCACGACACCTGCCTCTCATAATCACCAGCCACTTTTTCTTCTGCAACTTGTCTTTCCTTTGATAACAGCACAAAAACACAAGAACATATATGTATGTATCAATAAGGCATTTTTCGTGGATTAATAGCCCAAGCGTGGAATCTCCAGTCAATATTCTTTTTATGGTGCTGAAACAGTGGTAAGTATTTCTAAATAAAGAAATATCTGATGGGAGGTAAAATTGGCACGTAGAATAGAGCAAATATATATATATATGTATAACCGAGCAGATTAAGTAAAGCATAATAAAAAAATTACAACACCATGGAGGAGATAACTCTTTCAAGAATCTATGTGATGACAAGGTGAAGCTCACCGCAAGAGGGGAATCTTGACATTGCTATAAACCGCTGTATCGATCACCTCAATCTCCCCAGTGGGTGATTTGGGCGGAATCGCTTGCCACATGGGACCAGAATTGCCGCCAAGGTTAAAAGACTTGCTCATTTTATCCCCGCGTCTATCGACCAGGGGAGGTGGTGGGGGCAGCGGTCGTTGGAAGAAGGGGGTGGGGGAGGCCGTGCGAGCAGGCGATGCACAAAAACTTGTCACCGGGCTTCGTGCGCCACCAAAAAACACTGATGACGTGGGTCGACTTAGCGGTGGAATGCGAGGCAATCGATCGACAAGACCAAAAGCAGGCGAATGATGTTGGGGTTGAGACTGCTGCTGTGGCTGATGTGATATAACCGGCTGCGGAGGTGTCCCCCCATCTGGCCAGTACGTTCCTGGTGGTGCAGAGTTGAATGAACTGCGATCCGATCGACTATTGGGGCGTCGTACTACTGAAGCCTTCAGCCTTTCCATCTGAGCTGCCGTGTAATTGCTCTCTCCATGTTCTGGAATTCGGGGTAGAAATCCGCCCGGTGGTGGTGACTGATAGGCAAGCGGTTCGTTAGTAAGGTCATAGACTGTCCCCTCTCCACTTTTTTCCCCCATCTCCCCGACCTCATCCTCCACCAAGCCTCTAGCAATTCTTAGCGCCTGCTCCAACGAACTCACAGCTGGAGCGCTAGTCTTGCGACTCAACGGCGACTGACTGGGTGAGAGTGTGCGGGTGCGTGGCGAAGTAGCCACCTTCTCTGCGTTGTTGGAGGAAGAGGAGTGTCGACGCCAGAAAGCTTGCATTAGCGATTTGATAGGCTTCGGCGACTCCTCAGTAGAGGTTCCCTCACGACGTGACTTGCGATGCTTTTTTGATGAAGATCCATGGCCTAGTGCCATCATGAATGAATGAATGTGTGTGCGCACTAGATGTTATTAATCCCAAGTGGCATCGGAAAAAGTGCGTGTGTCGCGGCGATGGAGATTGTGGCGTGTGCATTCGCGTGTGTGTACGTGCGCGCGTATGTGCATGCTTGCGTGCATGTGAATTTCACTCGTTGGCGCGTGCCAGGATATAGAGACTCGAGCCAATCAGACTGCAGGATGAATGATGCGGTTGACCGATGAGGTAGTTGCCCAAAGGAATCATCCATCGTCCAGACGACACGAGAAACAATTAACCAATCAACTCCGTCTCACGACACACATGTTGTAATAGTATTTGGCTACGCAGAACGGAAAAAAAATACAGAAATGCGACGAAAGTAATCCAAGTGAATAAGGTGGCTAGACGTGCACAATGCGTGATGAAGATCAGGCAGCGTCCTATTACACGTCCAGTGCACAAAGCTTGAGTGCGATCTTGACAATAGCCACTTTGTAAGATGAAGGCGGCAATGTTCTTAAAAAAACTGCAGTTTTTTTGCAACCAATGTGAGGAAGATAAGGAAAATACAATCCAACGAATGTATTGAAAACAGGATAAACTTAATTTTCCCATGGCCTACAGAATGCATGGATATCCATTGGTTAGATGTGACGAAATCCAATTAAGTGTCATCACTAATGGTAGTAAACATTTACAGGCGCACTGATGGAGCTTATGCGTTGACAACACTCCATTTCAGTTGTGCACGCAAATGGCGGAGCTTCATCGCTTTTGCAACAATACCGGAGTTCGTCTCAAAACATCAGGTCTACATATCCAAGACTACTTTTTTTCAAGAGTCAAAATGAAGTCGAAATTTTCCAAAGCCGAAATAAAAGCCGAAAGTCGAACTGAACGCTTGCAAAGTTATGCACGCGCATACCGAAAATGCTTTTCTGTACAACTTATAAGTGCTTGAAATTAACCAGTTGATAATTCCAGAAGAGTGACTGAATTCAAGCTAATGAAAATCAACAGGTCAGGTTCAATCAGATAACAAAAGCAAAGAAATTCAATTTAGGCCCCGTATAAACCCCCGCCATACAGGCTCATTTTAGGGTGACTACGACTATTGGATTGGAAAAAATCTCCAACGCTTAGCCAGATCCATACGGAGCCATGTTAGGTAAGCCAAAAAAAGTGATACCGTAATTAAAAGCCTCAAACAAACAAAACCATTCGAATTCCAACTTATGAATCATCAGTAGCGGAGAATTGGCAATGCTAGTCACCACATATATGCTACTTATTGTTTTCAAGTACCAACTATTAAAGCTTGAGACAAGGCTTACTCTAGATGGGGGTTGATGTGTGAGAAAACATCACGAGAGTTCGAGAGGCTGGAGGAGCCGGAGTCATGTTCTTTCCAGTATTGAGAGGTGTGACCAGTGGCACCGTTCTTCCGTCCATTTGTGGCATTGAAGCCGGTAGGCCCCGAACCTTCTCGCAAGTAGTTGGCTGAATTTAGTCGAAGACTATCGGGAGAACCTACAATCGGAAAGACAATTCGAAACCTCTACAGCCCCAGTTCACCTACGTGTGTTAATGTAGGTGAATACGCAGACCTTAAGCCAACGAAGTTTAACAAGTGTTTGTATTCTAATTATTGGCAGTAGTGGAATACGTGAGCAGCTTTCCAGCGTTCCATTGAATGCAATAGTTGAAGACAAGATGTGCTCAAAGCCTCATCAACAAAGCTAAGAATTCATAGAATGGAAAGTCAAGATCTAGAACTTCTAAAATTGTCTGAATGATACCAAATTGATGATAAGATATGTGCATGCTTTTGCACAAGACCCAACCATGTTTCAGCCCAAGCAATTTGAACGATCGCCAAATCTCCTCTCTGATTAAACTGAGCGCAGACATTTGAGTAATTGCTAGAATAGCCGATGAAAAGCCGAATTGGAAGAGGCACAAAATTTTGGTCAAATAAGGTAGTGCAGAAATCGGGGACCAAAACTGGAGGAGAGGCCACCTTCCCAAAAGCTGATTCCGTGCTTTGAGACAGATAGGATTCAGAATTCCATAAACGAAACTAAACCGTATCATTTTGCAGAAGTAGAATCCGAGTCCTGAGCTTTCATCTTATTCAGAAATTATAATTCTGTAGGTAAAAAGGTGGATGAAATTTAACCAGTAACTTGACTTCGACATTTCCTTGAGCAATAACCATTGTATCACAATACCATATTAGTGCTGCTTCCTGATCAGAAATGGTTATAGGCCACTTAGCACCGCTTGTTGATCATGCGTCATGGAATACCCTTCAGTTGTTTGCAATGCTCATCTCCTTTCCATGCACATTTGCTATGTGCTACAAAATTGTCGTGGCGATGATAAAATGCTGCCGCCCGAGAATCCTCAAAAATAAGGCCAGATGAAGAGGAAATTAGGCCGAGTAATGTATATCGAGGCGACCGTTCAAACGCGTCGTGTTACGATTTCGGGCAAAAATTGCGTATGAAATAGCACATTCGCTCAGGAAAGTTAAAGGCATACTTGGTGCTCAAGTCAGTTTAACGTCACCCAGGGAGGAGAGAGAAAAGGCGTCATCAACCAAATGCTACGCTAAAAGGACATCCCAGTGGTGAGTCAGTCGACCGGCCACACCGTGCGCCGCCCTCTACTATTCAAGCCAAATGTGTTACTCTCAGAAAAAAAACAAGACACTATCTTAAAAAAATACTTTGCAATTATTTAACAAGAAACGTTATTATAGTATGGGCAGGAAGTGCAAATAGGTATTAACATTTTGGATATCGAAATGTCTCTGAGGTGCATAGACATGCAGAAGCTGTTCTAGAAGGGAATCGATAGGTATTTGATGGAGGCTACCTGTGATCGCCATTTTCCCCCTAATTGCGGTCATCGCAGATTAAGTTTATGAGCTATGGTACACAACATCACCGCCGCATGTCTCATGCCCTCAGCTCCACGTTGGATTCGGTTGGCTGGCTGAGCTATCAATGCTCACTTTTACTTCCTCCCTCCAACCAAACCAGCTAATAGCATCTATAATGAGGCCAGAGGAGGCACGACAACTAGAAATCAGACTGAAGGGGGAAAATGAAATGAGGAGGTGTAACGGAATAAAAGTGGTACAGCGGCACATCACCACGAGTTAGTTTGACAACATCAGAGGCCCCCGTAAGAAAGAAAAAGCATATGGTCCAGTTGTGCAGATGGATGATAAAACAACATGTACCAACTTCATGTCGCTCGTTTGAGGCAAAATTCCAGCGCACTTAGTTATACAATTCTTGTCATTTTGTGACATTTTTAAAAAGTAAGGCTCCCTCATGACTTTTACAGCGTTAGCGAGAATACACTTTCACAATATCTATCAAACGCGAAAGATAGAGGCAAGCGAACCTTCAGCGTAAAGTAGAGATTTGGTGAGGTATTGGGAATAGCCGCTTACAGAATTGTTCAAGTGCGCAAACTCGGTGCTCCTCACAAAAGGCCGCCTTTTTATTCGTGTAGGAAAGCACAAAAGTCCGAAAACAGGAATACGATTTTGCGCCCGCGTTGACACTGAACGCTGCCAAGCATGGAAGACTGGCTGACTCAAATCGATACATCTGTCAGCTGCAGCGATGAGGCCAACGACAAGGCCATGACGTAAGAAAGTAAGAGCAAAAAATGCAATGCTGCACCTTCAAATAGCATGGAGACCGGTGCAGGCGTTGTAGCTAAAGTTCCCAATTCATTGAGCTCAATCTGCCCGTTGTTGAAGCAGAAGGTGGTGGATAAACACATTATTTATGGTTTTGGGGTAAAGGAATATCCCTTTCAGTGTTGATTCAAATTCTTCTCACCTCATAATAAATGAACCCGTCTGTGAAGCCACCACCAACTGGAATCAAAATGCTGTTTAGACACTACGTAGCAAGACATAATCACAATGAACAACTTGCCAGTCAAAAAAATTCAAGAAAGCTCGGAAATCAACCAGTTCAACACAGTATTAGAATTTGTGCATTCATCTGTCTGCTTAAAATGGGAGACAGAATTATGGGGATCTCGAAAGCTACGATAAGTAAATTCGTTTCATCGGGCCATAAAGATAGAGAGACCCCCAACTTTAACAAGAAGCCATGGGCATTTATAAAGTGCGGTGATCAAGCTAAATTAAATAGCTAATTCTATATACCAGTGTGAACAGTAACACAAAAAATTCGGAGTCACCACGATCTCTAATAGTACACAAAAATTGGAAATGTGATTGTGTCCCCATTTAGTTCAGCTGTTAATGAAAAAAGAGGACGCACCTTGTGGACTGGAAGGCAGCTGAAATCCGCCCTGACGATGATGCTCAGTATCGCAGTATATGCTAGCAGCGAGACTGGCCCTGCGCACAGCCGCTCTTTTGGATGTGAAGGTACTTCCACCACCGCCGCTACCTGAGAGACGAGCGTCACAAGGCTCGTTGTAGATAGCGGCGGCAGCGGAGGCAAAGCGATGACCACGTGAAGTTGTGTATGTCGAGTGTCGCGCTGCAGTCGTCCCACCACCAGGCGGTGGATCGCTGAGACGTGGCGGAGTGATCCTGCGCAAAATAGAGGGCACCGACTCACTATGCTCCGCTGTCATGCCAAAGGACTCCTGATATTCCTCCTCTAGGATTGCCTATTAAAACCACAAAGAAAGCGAATTTAAGAACTTAACGACTTACTGGCTTTCAATTCAGTTTAACAAAACACAAAAACAATAAAGTTGTTTCGCATAAGGTCGGTAAGGGCGAAGCTAAAGATCTGGAATCAATTTTTAACTGTCGTTAAAGTGAAGATGCAGAACCGTCCACTGTGTGGTTTATAAGGACCGATTTGAGTATCCTGCTATAAATGTTACTGAAACGAACTGATTTCCATCAACTCAGAGTTTTATTGACCGGCCACTTCATTTCAAAACACACCCATGCCTTCAAACTTATCAAACCTTGGACCATAGGGTCTGTTAACCACAGAAATGGACAGAGCTCTAGTTCAAGTGTAGATAATGATGTTTGATGCAGCACTGTCAAAACCTCCAGCCAATGCTGAGCTCACAGACGGAATGTGAGGAGAAGTGAGGATCCAAAAATTTGGTTTGGGTGAAAACAATCGCCCTTCAATTAAGATAAATAGTAGGTTATAAAAAAGTCGGAAAACACGAGTGTCAACCTTTTTACTTAGGGGGTTACCGAAACCGATGACTAGACCTCAGAACCTGTATAATGACATCCGTTGGCCGAGACATCTTTGATAATTACGAATTAAAGAACATCAGAAGCATAGGTCCGAAAAAGCAAAGGCTTACAAAATTGGGCAGCTATTTCAATAAATAGACAAGAGGACATGCTAGTGTATTCGACTTCAGTGGAATTTAAAGTTTATCATCTAGAGTTTGGAAATAAACTTCGCAGAAATGTCAGAACTTCTAGGAAGAATCAGAAGCGTTATCCAACAGAGAACATCTTTTTTAGCCGGTAAGCAGGATAATTTGCACCACAAGGCCTACTCATGAAAATTAAGAGCAAAATAGCTTCTCATGGCTAGTAGTACACAATAAGGTCTGAATTCCATGTCAGTTGTGCATTAATCAGGACCACTTGTGATAGTATTGGCATCTCAGGAGCCAAATATCAGTTAGCATTGTTCAACCCACACGTCGTACAAAAATCGGAGACGAATGATGTGCAATCTCCTCGCACCACCTCTCATGAAGAGGGCCCACATGCGCAGCACCGGGCCAGATGCCGTATAAAAGCAAGGAAATAGACTTCACATTATTATTTCTACAGGCATAGCACGGCTTTTACTATTCCTTACTCTAACAAGCGAGACACGAACCTTGTTTTCACCGATTCGCACGGTGAATCCAACACAGCCTAGATGCCGTCAAGAGCTGTTAAAGCGTAATAATGGGAATGATAGTGCCATTCATATCAATCAGTGTGCTAAATGGAAAGTGCCTTCGAAATAGCATTTCAAGAGGTGACAGCCAGACAATTGAGTCTCCGAGTCACGCTAAGCCTATATTTCCATAATAAAAATTGAAGTCAAGGCACTACCATAGGCGGGGGGATAGTTTGGGTTGACAATGGTAAAAGACAAGAATCTAGGCCAGGAAGTCATAACAGCTAAAGTATTGTGAAGAATTTCGAGGTTGTTAGAATGTTGGGCTTAAGCTTAAGCAGCTCGGGACTAAACTGCCATTACGGAAACGCAGTGAACTGATACATAAACGCCCTCTGCCTAAGATATTGTCAGAACAGCCATTTGGTAAAAAAAATAGTTACTGACACTGTGTCGGGGGCGACTACTGGAAAATTAAGCTAACCAAGGGAAGGAACACAGTTATGGTAACTATGATCACTACACAACGGAAGGAGGTAGACGCTTTTGGTACTCACGCGATCAGAATGCTGTTTTCTGACAATCGCTCAAGAAATCACCACCAAAAAAACAAAAAATCTCCCTAAACTTAATGAAGCAACGATAAATAGTTTAAGACGGCTCTGTGTTGGAACTTTTGCAAATCGCTGAATTCACAAAGGAATTAACACCAAATTAGTTTCAAATGAACATTATAATAAATTAACGAGTGTAAACAGAGCTGCTGGATTTAAAAAGACGTATGCATACAGTCTCGCAATACCCAAAATAAGGATCATGAATAAAAGTGCTTCTACTGAAACCTCAAACACCGTTATTACTATGACCCAAGAGAGATTATTCGCCACAAGAGGATTAAAAAAACAGTTCTAACATTTTAACTGCTGCCGGTACCAGACGTGGGTAATGAATAAACCTTGAAACCACTTCGGCAGCTCCCTACGCGTATCTTATATGATTGTTATTTTTCTACTGTGAGCAAATAAGACGCAAAAGGGTGGGGTTTGGAAGCAGCACCTAAATAACTTCCACCAAAATATCATCTCCATCAGATACCATGGCCCGCAACAACCATTAAAAGGATTGTCTTTAAAATCCCTCATTATTGGTTTGGAAAATGATACCGAGTCTTGAATCGTTGTCCTTTGTCGTGAAACATGACAGGTGAACACAAAAATCATCCCATGTCAAATAGAAAAAAGTGATGGATATTAGCCGAAGCGCGGCGAAGCGGTTACTCTAACTTTGGCATAGTTGGGACAAGAGCGACGGTCAAGCCATAGTAATCAAGGTGATAAATGCATCCGTTGACTCTTGTAAATTCAAAATTGCAGACGCTCTGTTGAGTCAGAGACTTCTAAAATCCCGACCATAGATCACAGTTGGCACAAAATTAGCAGTAGCTCAAGAAGCGTCAGGCTAATATGACTTACAGAGGCATCCGAAAATGCTAACCACGAAATAATTTTGGTTACTTAAAATAGCTTACGCTGAAGGTCGGCACAATGTCTGAGATAGTGAATTCTGGAACAAAGAAGAATTTTAAATTTCCATTATTTCAATCACTCCTTTCATAGGAATTAGGGGCCTTCAGGACGTTTGTTCAGTTGGATGTTGAAAGTGGTAAGGTTATCTGGAGCTCATGAAAGGCAGTGGGTGGTAAAAATGCACTGCCTTTTACGACCACGCAAACCTCAACAAAAAATCTTTTCAGCGAAAAAACTTCAACTCCGAATGCCGAGAAAGCTAATAAGGTGACTAGTCAAATCATCTGTTTACATGAAATGAGGGTAAGAGTAATTGCAACATTCCCTACACGTGGCCTCCAGTTTGGTTCTAAAACAACCTGTTGAGTGCAGACCTTGACTCTAAAAGAGGCCAGCGGGTTGCTTTAACCACGATACTTGGGTTCATTTTAACGACGGTGCTCCCGTGAAGAAACCACGACAAGGTAGATCCACAAGTCGAGCACCTCTTTTGATGCGTAAAGAGGGAAACAAAGGGAGGGGGTGGGCGATTAGTCAGCTGCAAGTTTTGACAATAACCACCACTGCTACCAATACAGGGACGTCAGCAAAGTAAAGAGCAAGTGCAGGGCGGCTTTGCCAAGATGGAGACAATTCACAAGTAACAAAGATATTAATGGATTGCATCTTTTTTGCTATCCTGCTTTTTTCAAAAGAATTTGATTCGCATCATCTTTACATCCTATCTACCATTCCTTATGTGGAAAAGGAGGGATTAATTCGAAGCTGCTGCCCAAAACTTAGTGGCATAGAGCGGGTAAAGTGAATACCGAATCACCTCAACATTATGATACGTACACTGTGCCAACTTGCTGCCAAGACGACAACTTATTGGTTTAAGTACAGGACGCTTAATAATAAACTACCCCATTGTGTTACAGCTTTCAAGTCTGATGTGTGTTTGTGGTTTTCCCACTCGAATATTTTGGGCCACTGATAAGAAAAACTTGTGGAAACCCGTGTCGAAAACAAGAGGTTTAAAAACCGAAACGCTTTGCGAGCTCAACACAGTTTTTAATACGAAGAATGGCGTTGGCTAATCCACGGGTGCACTCAAGGGTAGCCATACATGGGGTTGAGGTGGGACGAAAAGGAAATGAGAGGATAGTAACAGTTGCAAACACGCAACAAATTACCTCACGAAATCACGCACAAGGACAAGCAGACAGAAGAACACGCTAACTGAATCATTGCCCTGGACACTTCAGATAACGATAAGAGACCATAAAGAACGGTATTTAAAATACAAATTTACTTCAAGTGGCATAAAGTGCCTTAACTCCTTAACCATAGATACCCGTGTTTTATGAATGCCCGTGAAGGACTGGAACGCTGCAATATCATGCTTTTAAGGAGAGACAAAACGGTCTACGCGTTAGTTCGATACATTAAAGCTGGTTTTTCTCGATCGAAATCATGAACTCTATCATCATAAATGGAGCATGCATAGAGATGTTAGCCCTTCAGTCACCGTCTAATTTTGAGATAAAAAAGCGAAGCTCTAAAAGATTGATAGACAAAACAGTTGCAAGTGAAGACAACCGGGCGCCTGCGAGGCTAGCAATCATAAGTACACAAAGGCGTAAGATGGAGTGTGGGTGGACAGAGAGGTTTGATGTGCGGGTAAGATAGGAGAGAGGAAATGGGAAAAGCACAACCATCAGCAGAGATAGGGTGAAGTGAAGAAGGGAAGCAATGTTCTCTGATTTCTCTCAATCCACTTCTCCTTACCAATCAGCAAAAGATGTCGAACAGAAGAATATGCAAGTTCGACAGAAAAACACACGTACCTAGGAGGTTTTATCAACTAGGAATTCGGATTTAATAGTTGGGGATTTGGGCCCGTTAGTTGGTCACTTCGAAGGGAAAGTTGAAATCCTTCGGAGTTGGAATTATAAACCAGTAAGATGGATAAGCATAGTCCTGGCAAATTCTTGCGGTAATCCTCTGCTGTACTTGGGAGAATTGATAGAGGCATTTGCCGTAGATTTTCGGGCAAAACTAATTACCTAGATAGGTACGGGTTTCCCACATCGTCTTCATGAACAAATGGTTATAAGAGGGGTAAATTAGGCAAGCGGTCAAAACTCCTCCACACGAAGGCGACAGATTTCACTAATTACGCCCTACTGATGATAAGGGTCGAAGTGCGATGCCCTTAGCTAGTTCGACGGGCGGTGCGTGTGAATAG